GAATGCAGGAGAGGCATTAGGAGGCTGGCTGATTTTTAGAAGGATTTGTCTTTTTAATTCTATTTTGTATTTTTGAAAATTTCATATGAATTAGTACATGTCATGCAATATACACAGGGCAGTTTTTCCTTTAAACAATGCATTCGTTAAAGACATTCATCACATATGCAGAATGCCTGAAAATGCAAATTAATGGAGAGTTGACTGGAGTCGTATTTGTATCCAATGGCTGATCACACAAGTCTCCATAATGTTGGACAAAGGATCGACTGTAGTCTTAGGAGAGTTCGGCAAATGCAATTGTTATGCATAGGCGTTCCTGCAAGGATGGCGGCATCCTCACAGTGCTCAGAGCTGGGGCCAAGGTCAGCAATAATCATCCAGGAAACGGCAGCTGGCATTTAGAGCAACTGGGGAGGCAGAGAGCGGTTAACTGTCTCCAGTTCTCTCTGCAGGCTGATTATATTGCAGAGCACAGTCTGTGCCATTGTAGCGAGTGTCAAAGGAAAGCCTGCTGCAGATAGAGGACGGTGAGGAAGGAAACATGCAGCTTTCTTTGAGATTTCCGCGGTGCATTTCCAGCTCTCGGCATGCAAAGAATTGTAACATTTCTGTAAAATTTTAAACAAAACTCTGACAATGGAGTCAAATCTTAACTGAAGCTCAGGTGAAAATTGTCAAAAGTCAGAGCTGCCTGTGAACTAGTCTTTTTCAGAAACCATTTCTGAAGTGCAGTGCAAATCTGGCATTATGTGAGCATCCCCATCCAGCCACTGCTGTGGGATGAATTTAGCCTTGGATTTACCGCAGAGGGAGGTACCAGAAGGATGGAGCAGTGAAGCTCTGTTAGGGTCAGCATTACTGTTGTGCATTACTGTTGTGCAATATTGTGCCTGTCCTGCCCAATTTCCAGCCCTCATGTTGCTCCTTTCTGAATATGCCATGCTTGCCCTCAAGATACGGTATTTCACAGCATTTCCTCCTAAGGAGGATTTCCGGTTTTGTCGGAAAGGCATTTAATTAAGGGCTTTAAATTTTTAATATATGGAGTCTGTTAAAAGTATATCTTCAGAAGTGGTGAAGGAGCATAGAAGCAATTTCTGGAATATGCTAATTCCCCAAGGTTGTTTTTTTTTTGTTTGTTTGTTTTCAAAGAAGATTGTGGGTTTCCAGGGGGTGTGAGGCTCGCCTTGTGCGTCACTAAACGTGGTGGAACACTGCATGGCAGTCAATGAGCAGGTGGCGATCGGTGTTAATTCTTCTTGCCACAACATTTTATGTGGTGCTAAAAGTATGTAAAAAATAGACAAATGGAATTGTAGAGTATAAGTAAAGCAGTGTTTCCTCCTGTCTAAGACAGTTTTAATTCAAAAGGCTGCAGTTTTTTCCCAGCCCTTAGGAATGTTCACATGCCTAGGAGATTTCTGTGATGGTGACAATGAATTGCTTTGCCCTCATTGATGCAAGAGTGCTAGTAATCTGCCGAGTAGCCATATGGTTTACATTTATTTTAATGTGTCTTTGACATCAGGAGAATAGCTGAGACAGCAGAAGAAATTGCTTATGTTTTGGAGTTCAGCCAGAACTCAGATTATTCAAGTTTAGTAATCAAAGAACTACCAGTTTGCTCAGTAGAGAATGTTTGAAAATCTTCATGGGTTTAAAATGTCACTCACATCAGGATTTTGTAAAATTAGGAAGTATGTTTTGCATTTCACAGCCAAATACAGCTGTATCAGGATTTGTTCCCAGTTGTGGGGGTTCTGGCTTCTATTTCAGTCATGAGATATATGGAATTAAGTGCTCTGTCTTTCACAGGTTTTACGCTGCTGTAGGCCTGCTGCCCAAAGAACAAAATAAAGCAGATGAAAAGCGTGGGTGTATAGAGCATTACTTGTATATGAGAGTCATCTGTCAGTGCATCATTGCCACTGCTTACCTATTTAATCAGTTATAATTTAGTCACACGTAAATGAGACTTAGATGTTTCTCGCAAGAGTACACTGCATTTTGGAGGAGCATTACTGTAGTAACTAGAAGAAGTAGGGGTATGTGTATGCTTGTTGTGTAGGAAAAGATTGTCCTGCAGCACATAACTCTTGTTTCATGTTGCTTTGCAGCTTTGAACAAATCACTGAAAAAATCTCAATTTCTTGAATTAGTGCTGAACTATCTATAGTCTTTCTTCTAATAGAAAACAAAGTGCTATAATGAAAAAACTTGATGTCTGGTAATAGGCATTCTTGCTTGTAGTACAGTTGTTCCTCAGTTTTGCAATTCTTGAACTTCCTTTGAACATTCAGTCACCAGCGACGTGTGTAAGCCTGGAATGGTGCACGAAGAGAACTGGTGGAAATGCCATGTGTAGTCATTAAGTAATGGTAACTGGTATGGATAAAGAGAACTACTATAAGGAAGAGAGGGTAATAACGGAGGAAAATATGAATTGATGTATCCTACAGTGTGTCCATTCACATCACAAACAAGGATAACAAAAGGGCATGAACAAAGAGCAGATGGTGTTTCTAGGATGGGATAACAATCCGTGTTTTTCTTTGAAAGTTTTCCCTTAAGTCTTTTGACCTGACCTTTAGGAAGCCTGTTTAGCACAGGTTCCCAGTTTCCAGGATGTTGCAGATGACCTGAGCAGTGGCTGCTAGTGCAGGCTGAGTGAGTGCTGTATGACTGGGGCTCAGCACTGCCTGGAGCCAGCCTGGAAAGCACAGCAGCTGCTCTGGCGTGGCACGTGTGGAGCTGGGAAGCCCTGTGGGACTGGGCATGATGCCACGGGAGGCAGCGAGCTGCAGGCAGGTTATTAACTCAGGCTCTGTTCTGCTAAACCCAGAAACTAAGCCACTCAAACGCCAAAAATCAACATTTGAGCTGTTGCTTCCTTTCAGAGGTTGAACTCTGGCAGGGCTTTTTGAAGATGTCTCTTTCTGAAGACCTTGTTCAGATATAGTGATATTTTCTAAGGGACAGTTCTGTAGCAGCAATTATGTTAACAGTACCATTCTTCCTTCTAGTAATAGATTTTATGCTTTACAATCCATATTCTGTACATCCTTCTGTTGTGTCTTGAGTCAAGCAGTGTCCTTAGCAGTAATTACAATTGATTCAAACCTACTGCTTAAGGTGCAGTGCATGCAAAATAGCATATGGTTCTGAATCCTGCTAAGATGATTGAAGAATGTGAGTTTTTGTTGACTTGAAGCAAAAAGAACTGAATGAGCTTGTGCTGGAGTATGGAGTTCAACATTCTACAACTTCCTGAAGGGAGGTTGTGGTGAAGAGTTATTTGGCCTCTTCTTCCAGGCAACGAGCAGGACACGGGGAAATTGCCACAAGTTGTATCAGAGGAGGTTTAGATTAGACATAAAGAAGAACTATTTCAGAGTGATCGGGCGCTGGAATGGCTGCCCAGGGAAGTGGTGGAGTCGCCATCCCTGGCAGTGTTCAAGAGGTGTCTGGATGACGTGCTGCGTGATATGGTTTAGTGCTTGTGGTGGCAATGGTGATGAGGAGACGATTGGACTAGATGATCTTATAGGTCGTTTCCAACCTTGTGATTCTATGATTCTATGATTTCCGTTCAAATTCTAAAACTAATTGCATTTGAAAAATCGCATGAAGGCAGTAAGAGACAGACTTGGAGAAATACAGCAGAACACATGCATGGTGCCTTTGCAGGGCTGACTGTGGCATGCCCTTTGGTACTGAGAATCATAGAATTGCAAGGTGGGAAAAGAACCTACAAGATCATCTAGTGCAACCATTCTCCCCTTACTGTCGCTATCACAAGCACTAAACCATGTCTCATAGCTCCTCATCCAGACGCCTCTTGAACACTGCTGGGGACGGCGACTCCACCACCTCCCTGGGCAGCCATTCCAGTGTCTGACCACTGTCTGAGAGAAAAAACTTTTCCTTATGTCTAACCTAAATCTCCTCTGGTACAACTTGTGGCTGTTTCCTCAGCTTCTGTTTGTTGAGGTGGTTGCAGCTCCCCGGGAGCACTGATGGCAGGCTGATTGTATCCTCAACAATCTGGGACACCAGAATATCTCTGATTTCTGTTTCTGGGTAACTAAGAGCAATCCTGTGTTCTTTTGCAGGTCCTGCCTGCTCTGTTCTTTCAAACAACATTGTCATAAATATGAATACGTTCTGATTTCTTTCTAACAGTAGGATAGAATAGACGGCAGTGGAGTTATCTGTAGTGCCTCAGCCTTCGCTTTAATAAGCTCTGGGGTGAGACAAGACAGAAGCAAACCCAAAAGATAAGATGAGTTTCAGAAATAAATAATTGCTTGTAATCTGAGACCCCTCCGTGTTTACATGCTTGCTTACAAAGATTAGCGTATAATTTGTCTGACTAGGAACTACAATGTTAGTAAATGACAGCATGAATTTTGCTGACATTTACAACAAATGCATTTCACAGATCCACTGTCTTCAGCACAGCTGTATAGTGCTGGGCTTACAGTGCTCATTTTTGTGGCAGTGAGAGTACTCTAGCATTTTCTTGGAGTTCAGCTTATCTCCACTTTAACACCATTTTTGTCAGTGACAAAACAAAACTTTTGATGGTGTAGCACTGATAATTTAATTGCTGGAAGCGAGAAAAACTATATAAAAAGTTGAGGAAATGCATTAATGGGTTCTTTACAACTGCTCATGGCAACAGCAGTCTTACTGAGACAGCTGACCAAACATTTAGGCATAAACATATGGTGATGTATGAAATTCTTGTAAATGTTGACAACACACACGTGCTCACATGGGTGTCCCTGCCCCTCCCCAGAAATCTACGTGGTGGGATAGCTTGTTCATGTAGTCTAGCTGTTACCATAGATGATATTCTTTTCTTTTCCAGATGGAAATTGTTAAATTGCACAGCTTTCTGCTGAGCTCCATTGATTAGTGTGTAGATGGCAAATAAAAATTCAGATTGATTTCATTATTTTTAAAGTAGTGTAATTCAGCTCTTCCATAGAAACTGACAGAAGAATGGAAGCACTTTTATTCCAGCATTTGGTACTTCTGCCAGTAAGCAACCATGTCAAGAATTCCATAGGTGAGTCTAAAAAAATTGCTATACATTTGAGTGTTATGTAGTAGATGCTGAAGTTTGTAGAGATTCAAAGCTTGTGGGACGTGGACACAATTACCTTGTAGTTCTTCATGAAGTACACACACACACCTACATATATACAGTTAACCTTCTGTATTTTCTTTCCTTTGACATTTTCCATAGTTTTATGTCTCATCTCATTTGTGGCTGGCTGTTTTATGTAGTATAAGTGCTGCTTGTCCTTCAGTAGCTGTCAGTGCTTCTACCCCTTTGGGGGAGGTTGAAATTCAAATAGGATCAATAGTACTCCATCAGAAACTGGGCACATCCAGGACGATTAAGACACCTCCTTTGCTAGGAGCAGGATATTTTAGTGTGCTCTTTCCTGTGTGTAAAAGCAATAGGCAAAGAACTTTCTGATTCATGGAATATTTTCTTTCACTCTAAATGGAAAGTGAATGTCATGATACCAAAATATCTTCCAAGCTCTATTAAAATTTAGGTCTTATAAATAGCAAAAATTTTGTTTTGAAATTGTGACGTATATAAAAAATCAGTACATTACAGCATGTCTTCATATTATGCAAAATTGGAATAACCCTGTCAAATATTCCATTCTATTTTAATAGCCTTCTATCCCTAGTAAAACCTCCTGTATATATTTTTGACAGGCTCTGTTGATAAAGAATGTCCTTAAACGTGTAAATTTAAACATGTCTAATGTAGCAGAATTTCTTCTAATTCTTCTGTATACATCCTACATCTTTCTGCAGTATCCTTTGCCGAGGACCTATAAGTGAATGTGGTTATTTATCTGTTTTACACTTGCAATTTAGCAAACCTGCAGCACGCCTGAAGTGTGTGGTATTTACCATGCCTTTAGCTGCTTGTCAGTATTTATAAAAATAATTTTATTTCAATGTTTTACAGAACCCAAAATGTTTTTTATGACTGTGTTAGTAGGGCATATCATCTGTGATTTAGTTACAAGAAAATATTTTCCTATGTACCTTTTTTTCTCATATAGCTAGCCTATCCCATTTTATTTTTTAATATAGAAGTTTGAGGTTTTCACACTTCTGATGATTAACGTTTTGGTACTTAATAATTGAAGAATGAATGAATTGTGTTTTAACTGTGACAATAAACCGAACCTATTACAAAACCAAGGCTGAAGACCAAGTGCTCCTAGCCTCCAGAGACAGTGCAGTCTAAGATGAACAACATACATCGTGTTGTTCTTACAGCATTAATGGAATGGTTCCAAGTCTTTCAGGAATGATGGGGCACCTTTTAAATACTGCTTGAGTTCCAGCAACTCAGTCGCTCATTTGTGCTTACCCAGTTGTTGCCTCTGAACTTCAAAGCAATAACTTATTATCTACTTTCTTGACAACCTGTTGTCATTTTGCAATAAATCAAATGAATCAGACTGCTGGTTAGTCTTAAAAATCAAGGAGCGTCTCCTACTCTGTATCTCTTACTTTGCAATATAGACTCACCACTCCTACTCTGTATCTCTTACTTTAGACTCACCACTGTTACCAGTAAGAAATGATAGATTGATATCGCTGAAAGGAGATAAAAGTGCTGTTAAAATTGGGCATGTATTTTTAAATAAATCCTTTTCACATGAAACTGCATGTTTGTATAAGAAAAACTCAGCAGGAGCGTGAGGGGAATCAGAAAATTATTCTACATGGATAGATAGTGATAGGACCAAAGTGATAGTTTTAACCTTGAAGAAGGGAGATACAGGTTAGATGTTAGGGTAAAATTCTTTATTCAGAGGGTGATAAGCACTGGGACTTCTTGCCTGGCCTGGATGGGGCCCTGGACAGCCTGATTGTGGGTGACAACCCTGCCCGTGGAAGGGGACTGGCAGGGACCATAAAGATCACCCAGTTCCATTCTGTGCTTCTATGATTCTAGAAAGGACCTGATTTTATGATAATAGAAATTTCTGAGAGTCTGAAACACAAACAATACTGCCTTTGTAGTTTATCTAACACGAATTTCACACGTGTTAAAAGTATAAAAGATAGAAATCTTTTCTGCAGATGTGATCCAGTGCTTTAAAGATGGGCTAGCAAATCTCTGCTGGAGCTTTGCATTCCAGTGGTGCATACAGCTCTGTGAGAGCTGTTGGCCTGCTGCTATCCTGACTGCTGTCATATGCAGTGTCTATTTTGTGTGCTGGGGTTTAAGGAAGTGCCAGTTGATAGATCGGTCTCTTTGAGGCGGCAGTGTAAAAAGAAATTTACTTTTCTGGGATGTGTTTGCTTTGCTTCCTTAGTAAAAAGAATAAAACTTTGAAAATTCTATTAGAAAACAGCCATTCTGGACAAGAATTTCTGTTCTAAAGTACAGAATAGTATTCATGATTGTAGCAGTTTGTAATGACTTCAGGGTTTGGTAATTTTCTCAACTCTTAGCGCCTCATTTAGACTGCACTTCTCTGAATGGTAGCGTGTACATATTAAGGAAAATAGAAGTACTCAAGTGACAAATTCGCTGTGATTGCAAGTTATCATTAATGTAATCATTAATGTAAACTGTATCTGTTCCAGCTTCTTCCATCCTGAAGAGAGAGAAGCGGAAGAGAACAAAAAATGTCCATTTTAACTGTGTCACTGTGTATTACTTCACAAGAAGGCAAGGCTTCACCAGCGTTCCCAGCCAAGGGGGAAGCACGCTGGGAATGTCCACGCGCCACAACAGTGTGCGCCAGTACACGCTTGGAGAGTTTGCGATGGAGCAGGAGAGGCTTCACCGGGAGATGCTGCGAGAGCACCTGAGAGAAGAAAAACTCAATTCTCTAAAATTAAAGGTAAAACTCATTAACTTTGTGCTTTGCCTTATGTATTCTCATGAGCAGAGTCAGAGTTGTATGGGCCCAGTGTGCATCTTTTAAACAAAACTGCTTTCAGCTCTAATTTCAGTGAGAGAAATTACATTCTTTATTTTATTTTTGCTGAAGATACATATTTTTTGATATTATGAAGCACTGATGTAGCTCTTGCTAATGTGCTTTGAAGTGCTTTACAGGCATGTGGTTGCTTACTTGTTTTCTTACAGAGAAGGTGATAAAGGTGGAGAGAACACTGGAACTTAGTCTGAAGTTAGACTCTGGAACTGCCTCTGAGCCTTGGCAGAGTGCCCTATTTAGACAAAGGAATGATAACATCTTAAGTACAGAAAGCAAAACACCTTATTTTCTTTGCCAGTTTGACTATATTTGGCAGAAAGTAGGGAACAGCAATACAGAAAATGTTTTTAGTGTACCAATTTATGCAATCATTTGTCTTTAGTATTTCACCAAAAGTTGTCTGGTAAGGAATAAAAATCAGACAAATTAACTTGCTTTATCAATTCAGCTTGATGGTAGTTTTGAAGCTGTCCTTTTAATTTAGTAGAGGAAGGAAACTGTATTTGAGAAGAGACGGGAATTCCATTTTTTTGAAGCGTCCCTTCTGTGTCTTTCAATTTGCTCGCAAAATCTCAGGTTTTGTTATTTTGTTTAGTGAATGAAAAACTTCCGGTATGATGGCGTATGTTACCTTAGGTGTTTTCAGGTGAATTCTGTAATTAAAGGTGAACAAAGTTGAACTGTGGCTGAACTGCTGGGCTCCACAGCTCCTATTTCTTGTGCTTTGACAGATACGACTATGTAGGTGCAAAGCAAAATAACACTCGCAAATCTCTGCCTTTTTCCACTAGAATGAATGGTGTTTATAACTGTCTGTCTGAATACCTGAAGCAGTGCATATGACCCTTACTGCTACAATTATTTTTTATTCAGTCTCCTATTGTTTTAATTTGAATAGAAAAACAGATTCTTATATAATTGATAATAATTGAATGTTTTTATGAAAAAAGCCTCACAAACATAAAACCACGCACGACAGAGGCAAATAAAAGACGGACATTTTGACAGGCTGGAAAAAAAAAGGCTGGAGTTAATGATTTATTGCTATTTAGAGATTATAGCTCTAGACGTCACAGGATCTTCAAAGCATCAGGTGGGAAGTGAGCTGTGTCTCTGAGCAGATCCCTTGGCTGACTTCCAGGAAGAACTGTTTTGCTGTTCACTTGGTTTCTAAATAAATGCAGAAAGGAAAGGCTGTAGATTTCTAAGGTGATCAATCAGTGGTTGGGTATAAAGTACTGCATATCTGCACAGAAAAATGAAGAAAATAAGAAACTGAAGGAAGGCAAAGTTGTTCTGATTGATTAGACTGATTGAAGGACTGATTAGAATGATTGTGCAAACAGAAAGTAGTATTTTCTGTGGTTCTGTTCTTAAATTTCAGCTTCCCTGATTAATTTTTCCCATTGGATTAAAATATGCAAGGTAGAACACACTGTCTTTTGTACAACTTGTTTAAAGAAAGAAAAAAGAAATATGAATATTTTGGAATTGTGTGTTTGTAATGTTAGGTACTGTTCATTATTTTTACTTGCTAAAAGTGAGGAGCCAAATAAGAAATTTCAGTTGATTAAAAGCAGATGATAAAGACTACAGTCATCTTGAAATCACTATAGTAGTCATGTAAAGCAGCTCTTTGATGTAAGCACTGCTGACAGTGGCATAAACACTGTTAGCAGCCGAGTGTGAAAGTTTTAATGGCAATATGAGCATAAAAGCCATCTTGTTGAGATGAAAGGTACAAGGTAGGCTTTACTTTAAATGCACTGTCATTTGAGAAACGGTATGAGTTAACACAACAGGTTAGCGACAGTACTCTTTATTGCTTATTTATAAAGTCTCTTCAGATTCAGGTATTTTAAAATGATTTGCACGACCCCGAGTGATGTTGAAGCCCCTGAGTCAGCAGACCAATGGATAAATCAGCACAGATTGTACTTATTTTGAAAACAAGACAAATGCAAATGGAAAAGGATGTGGGTTTGTCTTTTGTAAATAATGTTCTAGTCCTATTTCCATCTGTCGGGTGTTAGGGAATGTGCCTGAGAAGTATCACTGAGGAATGGTAAAATGTTAGGTAGTTGCTATGAGAAATCTGCTATTTTGCGATTTTCTATAAGCTAGGTAATCTTATGAAACCTAAATGTGATGATGGTGCATGTTTTCACATGCATATATGCTTAACAATTTCAAAGAAAGGAAACTCGCAGTGCATTAACTGCATTAGATGAATATGTGACTTAACTGAATTCATGCAAGCTGGTCATGAAATTATCAATAATTGGTAAATTTGTTTTAGTATTAAGGCAGAATATTCAGTTTTCAGTTTTCCAGTTCTGTCTAGGAGCTTGCAGAAATCTTTAGCTTACTCGATTCATGTAGCTGGACAGTACAAATGGAGGCCAGTAGTGGTATGATATGAAATTATAACAGTTCAATTTTTCTACAGTGAACTGTAGGAGAAACTAAAAATCTATTATCCGTGTTGGTTTCTTTTGTGTGAAATGTAAAAGAGAACTTCCAGCTTGGACAGGCAAAGGTATCCAACCCAAATTTGTCACCTTTTACGAAGTTGAAGGGATTTTCATGCAAACTCTTCATGTGTTCATCAGCTATAGCCTGTTGTTATGAATTAACCTTTAACTTTATGAAGAAAATGTTACCCATCTGCATATGTTCGGATGTGTTACAACAACAAGAAAACACAATGCTGTCCTGAGGTTTTGAATAGAAAAATATATTTGATGGTTCTTAATAATCTTCCATCTTAACCAGTTAATTGTTTGAGAAATGTTCAAAGCTTTCAGTTTCATTACTTCATTTGTTCTTTGCGTCACAAAATGGAGAAAAAAAATCAGAGAATACAAGGGAGTCATCCAGCAAGGGAGTGAAAAGGAGCTGAGGTTCTTTGAAATTACAGTTTGCTGTCTAATCTCACTTGATGCCTGTGACTTTGCAGTCTGCAGGACGCCTACAGCACCTGACTAGAATTCACTCCTTAATGCTCAATCACTACTTAGCAAAGCTATAAGCTATTAAGCTTTGCAGGAAGGGGAGAAATATGCGACAGGCTGGGCATGGTTGTGTAGGTGCCTTTTGTAAGCTGAGCGGTTAAAGTATTTACCTCATCAGTAAGAGCTGATGATCATGACAAAAATAATTACCAAAGCAGGAATTAGAAATCTTCCATAGTTTCAAATGCAAATCATGACAAACTATTAAATAACAGTGATCTGCTTAAGGGCTTGTTTGAACTGTGTATATCTGAAAATGGAGAAATTAGAAGTAAGTCATTTTTCTATTAAATGCAAAAAGAAGACCAAAGCAACATAATAGAAGCTATTTAGTAGTATCGAGGTAACAGAAAATGAAGAATAAAAATGATTAAGGCTACCATCTGGATGTTCAGCCTGAGTTGCTTGTACTGAGGGAAATTGCTCCCCACCACCATCAGATAGCTGATTGAAGATGCTCTGAACTTTTCTATGCATTTACTTGTCTCTCACTGTAAAGAATACAGAAAAAGACTTTTAATGTTGTTTATTCTACCTTGCTGAACTAATATGTTGAAGTGCTTCATGTAGGGTACCTGGTCACTGTAAAACAAAGTGATTAATAGGAAATGGAGTGAGCAAACAACATAAAGGTAGTTTGAGAGGACATTTCAGATAAAGTAAGAGATGAATGTATATGCATGTAAAACTAGGGATAACAGACACAGTAAGTAACATTAAAGATGAATTGAAATGAAAGCACTAAGTTCTGAAGGCTGCACTGACAGAAAAAGAGTAAGAATATACTGCAAAGAAACAATAATGCCTGTAAAGGTAGAACACTTCTGTGTTAAACAAATATGGTGCTGGATTGCTAAGAAGGGATGATTGCTGATCTGGGAAGATTCTCCTTGTGTAACATGTACGTGTTAGTACACTGTATAAGCATTGCAGTCTGAACGCTGAGGCTCCTCCCATCTGACAGGGATGAGTATCACCTGACAGTACAGGTTGGAAATAATGAGCATTTTCTTCTATGATTATCTTATACAGTTAATATAAACACAAAACTGCAATTACAAAAGAAATAGGCCATCTGTAGGAGTTCACCATGGAGTAATTCAATTATGCTATAAAATGACAGAATCGAAAAGATTTTGTAATATAAATGGGAAATGAAAAGTGCTAACACAGTTGAGAACCTAATAAAAGCAGCAAGAGTGGTAAAGGTGAGATTCAGGACTGCATTGTTAGATAGAAGATGCATATATAGCTAGAAGATGTAATTGATTTGTTTCCTTACGTACAGCACTTTGTTAATTGTTCTGTATAACAGATGACAAAGAACGGTACAGTGGAATCTGAAGAGGCTAATACGCTGACACTGGATGACATTTCTGATGATGATATTGATCTGGACAACACTGAAGTGGATGAGTATTTCTTTCTACAACCCCTGCCAACAAAAAAGCGAAGGGCACTGCTGCGAGCCTCTGGAGTGAAGAAGATTGATGTGGAAGAAAAACATGAGCTGCGGGCCATCCGGCTGTCCAGAGAGGATTGTGGCTGTGACTGCCGTGTGTTTTGTGATCCAGAAACTTGCACTTGCAGTCTTGCAGGCATAAAGTGTCAGGTAAATGTCTACATTATTGTCATTATTTAACTAGCAAGGGAAGGGGCTGTAGGGGTGTGTGTGCATGCACTTTTTTATTAAGGTGGTAAGTACTGAAAGATTATTAAGTGAGTGAATTATTAAACAGTAACTTGTGGATCTTAAACTACTTTAAGGCTCGGATTTAAGAGCATGTAATGTGAAATACAATTTTTCTCCTTAAACATCTTTATTTTACGATCAGTTTAGGCATATACACTGTTCAGTATTTTTGGTTTTGTTCATACATATTTTCCTCCTCGTGTTCCCCTTTGGCCTTTATCTAAACATGCAAATGGAAACAGAAGAATCAGTAGCCTGCAGATTTCACAAGGGTATGTAGCTTTTGTTTTAGAGACAATTCACATACTGTCCAAATGTGAATTATAGTCCAAACTCAGTGAGAAGTAGTAAGTCAAACTGCGGTACTGTCCCTTCTTTAACATGCATGATACTTAACATGCAAGCATGAAAAACTGCATGCAGGCAACAAAATATAGCAGGTAGTTTTTCTCTCTACAGATTTAATGGTATCGCCTATTGTACATATAGCTGTAAATGTCCCAAAATAGGAACTCCCAAAAGATGGTTTCTGCTAATTACCACAAGTAGCTGTTACGCAGCTGAGTTGGTTTCTTTCTAAATGCATTTTTTACATCATTTCTTAAATCCCTGCTAAATTTTCTCTGCTATTCTAAATAATACATTCCCTTTGCTGCTCCTGTTTTCATCATCTTCACGTTTTGGGAAGATGTACTAATTGATTGTTTCAGATGGCTCTCTTCTGCATCACATTTGATGTTTAGGTATACAGTAGATAAAAATTATAGACCTTAAGCTGTCTAATAGAACTATTTGATTTGTGGATTCAGTCACACTTTTATATACTTAAAATGGACACTATGAGACATATGGATATTTGACACGGCTTATTCTTAAAGTACTTCTCAATTGAATCCCACTTCACTTCTATTTTTAGGCTTTCTAGGTTCTGTGATATAACCAGGTTTATGTTAAGTATTGTTAATCTGTATTCTCTTTTTCAAAAGGTGGATCGTATGTCTTTTCCATGCGGTTGCACTAAAGAAGGGTGTAGCAATACAGCAGGTAGAATTGAATTTAATCCTATCCGTGTACGGACTCACTTTTTGCACACAATAATGAAACTTGAATTGGAGAAAAATAGAGAACAGCAAATTCCATCAGTAAATGGCTGCCACAGCGAGATAAGTGCACATACTAGTTCTATGAGTCCGGGACCCCATCCGGTCGAATATTCAATTGCAGAAAATTTTGAGATTGAAACTGAACCTCAGGCTGCAGTTATGCATTCTCAGTCAGCCGAGGACTTGGACTGCCCTGGGGAAGAGGAGGAAGAGGAAGATGGGAGTAGCTTTTGTAGTGGAGTTACTGATTCTAGCACTCAGAGTTTAGCCCCTAGTGAATCAGATGATGATGAAGAGGAAGAGGAAGATGAGGAAGATGATGAGGAAGAAAAAGCAGATGACTTTGTAGAAAGTATGAGCTCCCATGCTGACATGGTGCCTCTTCCTTCTGTCCTTTGCTACTCTGATGGAACTGCTGTGCATGAAAACCACTCTAAAAATGCCTCATACTATACTAACTCTTCAAATCTATATTACCAAATAGAGAACCATGTTGCTGGCACTGCTAACCAGATTGGTGAGACTTACTCAGAAAGGGATGCTGTCAAGAATGGCAATGTTTCTCTGGTGCCTTACAGCATGACTTCAGAACAGTTTGTTGACTACACTCGGCAATCAGAGGAAACTTTTAGCAGCCCTCATTACCCTTCTGCAAACCCCTCAGTGATTGTCTGCTGCTCATCTTCTGAAGGTGATAGCAGTGCTCCGTGTAACAGTTTATACACTGAGCATAGGCCAAGTCACTCTCAAGTGGAATTTCACTCATTCTTGAAAGGTCCTTCTCAAGATGGATTTGTTTCAGCTTTGAATGGCGAGAGTGGTGTACAAGAGCACCCTGCCGAGAATTCACTAGTCCTCTCAGAAAAGAGTAGACTGCACGAAGAGTGCATCAAATCACCAGTGGTAGAAACAGTACCTGTTTAATATTAAAATTATTCTAAGACTGACTTCCTGTAATAAAATGCACTCAAATTGGATTTCCTAGAATGTTAACTTTTTTTTTTAAGAGGTAGACAACACTTGGGCTATAGTCAATGTTCCAGACACACCTTCAAGCTACATTGCCAGAGGCACTGCACAGAATCAGTTCATGTAAAGATTAAAAAAAGCAAACCAACGTCAGACTGTCTTTGATAAAAGTAAAACACGTAAGTAAAAAACCACATCTAACATATTTCAAAGTAGCCTACCTGTCAAATATGTGAAACATGCCAAGCTATCTGAATCAAAGCTTCAAGTTTTTGATTGTCGGGCCTGTGCAAGATTGTTAAAAATGATAGTTTGAAATAATCATGTTTAAAGTCCTGATTTTCAACGTATTTGAAAGAACATAACTTTAATGTAAAAGTAATTACTGTACAAAAAAAAGTTTTAATTGTTCTGTACTGTATGTATTTTATTTATAGTAGCTTAGTATTCATGTTTTGATAAAAATGAACAGCGTGTTCATTTGAACAGAAGATCCATAGTTAGTAAGAAAGAGCATGACCAATTTTCATCTGGAGTACCATGTATTTTTTAAATACCATTTCTGATAAATTAACTTAAAATGCATTTTTAGAGTACTATTTTCTCTTTCTTTTTACTGTTCTTGACCAACAGAAGAGTCAGAAAGGGGGGCATGTGCATCTTATAGAAAGGTGAAAGGTAGACAATCCTCCATCAAAATTAGTGGTATTTCTAGAACTAGCACCCCTTCCCAAAGAAAAACGATCTTGTATATAATGGCAAAGCAGTAACTTAAGCTTGCACTGCACCTTTTAGCCCAGCAAACATTCAGATACTTACTTATGCACTTTAGTGCCATTTTGCAGTGATGTTTCAACTGCAGAAACTGTGAACTATTTTGGAGAAATGCCATAGCTCCAGACTCTGAGGTAAATGTAAGATCTTAAAGTCCATTGCAGCAAAACTAAGCCAGTATATCAATAAGTCAGTCAGTCAGTAAATACTTGAAAAACAAAAAACAACTAACAAGCAAAAGTCTTGTTGATCACAGTTTAAATGAAGCATGGAAAGTAATGTGGAAGGGTCTAGATTTTCCTATTTAGCAGTTTTTATGAAATACAAAGGATTTTGTGGACTGTAGACCATCCCTTGCATTACTTGATCTAAATAAGGATCAGTATAGTCAATGACAAAACACAGCTACAGAGATTTTACATTGCTGAAGTCTGCACACAGAATAGCGCATACACCATATGGATTTCCATTGCTTTGTACTCCAGTTATTCTAAAAATAAATGGAAATTAAAATGCCTGCTTTACCTTATGAGCAGACATTGCTTTCTTCAAGAAAAGGAAGTGTACTAGAGCCTGCTTTTCTGTACGCTGGTAGTTCTCTGCAGACTTTGATTTCAGAAGCCATTTTAATTTTGTTCTAATAATGAAATATTATCATACATCAAATATAGCTGCTGTGAAGACCTGTTTTGTTTGCCAAAATAAGGACCACCATCTTATTTTCATCTGTCAGATCTCCATAGTTAGCTGTAAGTATGTAAACAGACTATCAACTTTAGCTCTGTGACAGTGACTGGTTAGCAGCTCTTTACAACATCATATAAAGTGCTTCAGTAGAATAATTTCCAGATCTAAAACATGCTTTTTAAAAAATAAACTTAATTATTTTAGTGAGATCTGGGCATCTCATTTACTGAGATCAGCATTTTCTGATTTTCTACGCTAAATTAGCAAAATATTTTTACTCCACATACTCACTGGAAAGGTTTTTTTTTTGTTTCCACAAGTCCTACACGTTTTATCTTTCTCAAATTGCATCAGAAAGTGCTAGTTCTCCTAGGAATGGATATTCCATATTTACAGCATACTCCATGGTCTGGGAAAGTGCAGTCATGTTGATCAACTGCCTCAGCAGCTCCTTAAGCCCTGCTGCTCTTAGTCACTCTAATCTATTTCTGTACAGGCTGAGTAGCCAGGTAAATGCGTGTGTTCTCCACTTCCAAAGAGCAAATACCCATCTCTAAAGAGAAAATCTTAGTTCATAAAAGGTTCTGCATGAAAAAATAAGAGTAGTGTTACTCTGTCCAGATATTCTACAGCAAATGTTACAAGTCTCCATATACAGGGATCTTGCACAAACAGCAGGCTTAAATTAGGCAGTCTCAACACCAGCATCAAAAGCACAAATCCCTTCCTGAGCTGGGAGAACAATTGTGAATCAGTAGCAGCATTTTAAGTTCAGAGTGTGTTGACTACTGGAGCATCATGCATACTTTACCAGGGTATTACTCAGGGGAAAGTTAAATTAAATATTTTTGTTTCATTATTCACCCCCTTACTGAGCAATAAGAGATTATTTTCCTGGCCCCTATGCTTCCAAATGAAAAATATCTTTAATAACATTAGCAAGCACAGTAAGCGATTAACTTTATAAAAGTTCACTTTAACATTCTGAGACAATAGTTTCTTTGTATTTCTCTTGGCACTGGTGTCAGAGCAAAGGCCTCCTCTGTAAATTTCTGAGTACTTAGATGTATATACCATACACTTTGATGCATGTGCTGTGGGGGCACAGGGTGAACATAGCTAAATTCTCAGTAGTGTACAGCACAGGGTAACAAGGAGCTTAAAGACAGCATGCAGGCAGGAGTGAATATGCCAAGAAATTCTTGCTACAGTATTTGCCCTTGCTTAAAAGTAGCTAATTCCACAGCCCTGCCCAGAACAGATGCTCCAGTTTATAACTTGAGTTAGCTGTAGAAATCAGCTCAGAGCCAAGATTCCTACTCCTATCAGACTTGTTCATATTTTGCTTAGAAGACCAAAGAAATCTTCATAGAAGCAAAAATAAACTTAAATCATGAGCTGAAGAATGTTTCAGTCTTACATTCTGGGCTAACGTATGCATATGATGCATCTCATTTTCCAGTTAGTTAATACTGGTAAACAGTCCTATCATTTGGGGCAAACCTATTTCTGTGCTAAAAGTATTATATTATTAAATGATAAATGGCAGTATTTGCTTCTGTATAGACATGGCTTATCATTTTTGGAAATGTTTACTTTACTGATAGCTGTATCAGCTTTTTCCCCTAACACATTTTGCTACTGATAAGCACTCGTAAGAAGCCAGATAATAAACGGGCAGATAATTTATGATTGTGTTAGGTAGCTCAGAAAAATACATAATAACAAAAGCAATTCCCCCTCCGTTCAAATCGGATTTTTACACAGAAAATTAATAGAACACCACATAAAACTGAATGCCTTTTTGCTCCTAATGTGAACTTTGCCCCTCTTGGAAAAAAAGCATTGTTAAAGTTTATAAAGCTTTAACAGATGTTAAAGTTGGCACTTTTCTGGCAAAAGTGCAGTATCTTTTTTTCCTAAGGGCTTTAATTCAATTCATACGCATTGAAACATCCTTAAAAAAAAAAAAAAAAAGTTGGTCAGTAAATCTTTCTGATCTTTTTTTTTTCCTTTTAAGTTCTTTTTTTTTTTTTTTTTTTTTTAAATCAGCTATATACCATTTCAATACGAAAATTTTAACTTAGTGAAGTTTTAATGTTTTACAGTTACATAAATTGTTGCTAGTGAATCGTTTGAGTTGTCATTGCTGTCTTTTAAGGCCATTGATTACAATCACCTGCTGTAAATGTGGTTCAGCCCAGCTCACCTCTTTGTTACATGATGAGTTAACAGTGTTAACAATGGTATCTTGCCTTTTTATAAGTTGTACAGAAAATGCAGGTAATACTCATGATGTTGTTACTCACTGGATTGCTAATAAATCCAGAACCAGTTTCTAACCTTATCTGAGCACCGTATTTCAGTAAATGTGCTATTAAATCAACCATGTAGACATCTCCTGCCCCACAATCTACCTAGAGGATGTCTTCACTAAAGACAAATTGTTTCTTAAAAATTGAGAACATACATTCATATACAAAACATGGCATGTTTTTGAATGTTCTTAAATGTTCTTAATTCTTTGATAGAAATGTGAAATACCGGACAGAGTACCAGGCTAATACAGAGGAGACCTGGGTACCTTTGGCTTTGCCTTTGTTCTGCTCTGTTACTTGGAAGTGACTCTGACTCGGGTTTGCAAGGTACTTGGAGATGCAGTGATTAAAATCTTTCAAGACAACAGCCAAGATAACATTTTTCCTCCTTTTCTTTGGCATCATAACTAAATTTCTGCAAACTAAGTCACTTTCCCAATAAATTCTAGTTTAGCTCAGAAGTACAGATTTCATCATCAACATGAAACACAAAAAAAGCAAGGTCTTCTTTTATGGACAACATTAATAAGCAAACATAGAATGACAAATTCCGCAGTGAAAAATGTGAAAATTAGAAAAAAAGCTTGATTTACCTGTTGAGCAGCAAGATTTTAGTTTGCCAATGACACCAGCTACAGGCAGTCTTATTCCTCCACTTATCTTCTTTTGCTAGTTGAGTTCTGTCAGTTGAAACTCCTTGCCAGGGCTACTCCTATGGCATAGTAGGTACCCTCACTCTGAGCTAAAGCAAAAGAGACAGTTGGAGCCACAATACTGTTTTAAAGGCATTTGCTAAACAAGAAACTCCTGTGTTTTAACTCATGAGTTGTGTGAACTCAAGTGCTTTGTGCTAGTTTATTTTCTTGAGGCAATCAGGAAAAGGCACAGAAGAGAATGAAACCAGAAATCCTCTAGTGTTTAGGGGTGTTATGCTTTCCTACTGGGACTAAAGACTAATTCTGTCACCTACTTTACCACAGTCACAAAGCATTTGTTGTAAAATACTTAGAAAAACTAGAATTAACTCAGAGAATATATTCTGTAGAATTTATTTCTAAAATATTAAATCTGATCCCTATTTTTTTTTACAATAGTTGAAAGCTACTGTTATTTTCAAAACGCATGCACACAAAGAATTGAGTTCATTAATATACTCACTGGCATGGGAAATCTCAACACAATTCTTAATTTTTAATATTTCTTTTTAAAAGTATACCTTAATTTTGCTGTTCTCAGTAGTCAGTATTTATGTACTAATAATTGTCCGTTTTCTCCAAGTGGCATGCAATCCAAAGTACAAACCTTATGAAGTGATAAATAAGTGGTGTTTAGCTGTAAAGATGTCCGAAGGAACAAATGTTCAAGTGCTTCGTAATTGCTTCCTTTTTGCTGTCTCTTCTTCCTCCTACATCAGAGGCAGCTTTTAATTTGGTTGATAATAAATATTTCAGAGTATAGTTCTTAAGAAAGAGAACAGCTGTAACAACCTTGAAAACTTTCTGCCATGCTAATGGCTGATATAAAAAATTTTACTTACAATAAGAACATCTGATTCATGAAATATCTCAACGTTTTCCAGTCTTAGTCTTCTCATTTTTTTTCTTCCTTCCTTCTTGAATCTTAAGTGTCTGGGAAAAAGTTTGTTTAACAGTAAGGCTTTTCATTACAAACAACTTTATATAAGTGCAACACTAGTGTCCTCTGTGCTATCTGTCCTTTATCCTGGAAGAAGAGTTGATTTTATTTTTCACTTAACATTTGCACAAAGACAAATTAGAACTGTGGTAAAAAAAAATGTCATCTCCCTCACTGGCTCTGAATAAACAGTAATCAGGAATGGAACCCATAGAGTCTCTCTATAGGCTTTCCTTTGCTGCACCCACAAACAAACAGGAAGGAGACCTACCCCCATGGGCTGCAGACGTTGAAGGGGATCCTCTTATCTCCTGATGCCTGTAGATCCAGAGGAAGGGTGTCATGTTTCATATGGCACAGCCTAGTACAAGAGAAATATAGAGAGAAATAAAGAGAGATTATGGAAAGCAGAAAAAACATCAGCTAAGGAAAGAAAGGTTTTTCTTCAAACTACACTTGCAGTTTGTTTTTCTTAATATAAACAATAAATGAAAAGTACCCTTTTACAAAAACCGAGTCACATTTATAGCGGGGAAAAAAAAAGAGATGAGTACTGCTCTACTGTTGTATATTCTCTGTGGTTAGGAGGACACCCAGTACGCACAAGGTCTCACTGCCTGGAGAACCAAGTTCACTATCCTCCGTATTTATTCTCAGTTAAGAAGATGATAATCCTTCACCCAGGTTTAGCACAACTCCTTTTATTTATTAAATCGCTATCATTTGAATCTTCATTGTTACACTTCAGTTTTCTTGAGGTATTTTATGAATTTTGAGAAGAACAGAAACGAGGTCAAATAAATTTGCCTTACATGTAGTTCATCTCTAACTGTGCCCATTTGCAATAAGCCACAAACCGGATTATAACTGAATTAGCTTTCCTATACTGGCAGGAAAAATGGTGGAAAGTACAAAGTAACACCACTGTTATACGACAAGGGTCAAGATAATCCTTTGTCTTGAGGCATGGGCAGATATACCCTGGTGTGAGTGAGGGGAAGACAGAAAGGTCAATCTAGAGGAAAGGAGATAAGAAGGTAAGAGATATACTGATAAGGACATTTTTTTTTTTTTTTCTAAAGGGCAAAAGAGAACAAGATATAGGAGAAAAAAAAATACAGAAAATATGAAATGAAGATATCCCCAGAGCAAGGATGGGAAAGCATATGCCTGTGCACTACATGTTTGGTTATGTTAGCTCATAAAATGAATTCTGTTGCTTGAAATATCTTAAAACCATTATGAACTTCCTGCAAAGAAGAAATGTTGATTTGCAACAGCAGTTATATGTGGGCAAACATTAAATAACACTCATCCAAAAGCACAGGGTAAAAACAAGAAGTTTTTACCTTGAAGCAATGCTACCTTGTCTTTTCTTTGCATACATTAACCGCAAAGTCATACTCAGTATCACTGAATTAACTCCCAGGCCTGTGCTCTACTATAACATCAGATAACAACAGACACTAAAAGCAAAAAAGAAATAGGTGTCCTTTGTATTAGCATTTTAGCTTGGGGGTTTTTAATGAGATTTAGTACATTGTGGCAGCTAATTCTTCTAGACTTCTATACTTGAAACTTTTTTTTAAAGATGGATCTTTACTTAAAAATGAAATTTCAAGTTTGAATTGTAGGTGAAGTACCTTGCTGGGGTACTGGGGTAAAACAGCCACCCGTTTAGCAGTTTCTGATAGGCATGCTGAGCATAGGGTTTTAGCTTCTTGAAAAGATTGCAACATTATGTGCACTGGCAGCTAGTTCTTTTAAAAAACAGAAGGCAGTGTGCTATTTTTCTATTAAAAAAAACAAAACAAAACAAAACCCAACACATTCTATTTCTAAAACAAATACCACCACATGAGCTTTCACATAACAATACCCATATAAATGATGTTTAACAACGGGGTCCTTCTTTTAATTGACTGATGTAGGCACTTCTATGGAAATATGTCTGAAGTGTAGTTTGTAAAACATGTTTTTAAAAGTGTTTGATGTAAAATAAGCACTAGACTTTTAACAGTGCAAAAATAGTCAAAATCTGTATGTTACAAGTTCTTTACTGAGAGCCTCAGCCTGTAGTAGTGTCTTAGTAAAGTCAATCTTTTAAGTTAAATTGCATTCTGGTGTAATAACTTTTTGCACATAACATTAATACAGATGTACTGGTTAATAACATAACTGGTTAATAACATGGCAGTTTATGTTATTTTGATTTTCCACCTACAGCTAGTAGTTAAAATTTTGTTATATATATAATTACATTTTTATGTTTAAAGTGTTTTCTCTGTTTTAAAAAATATGATCTATGACAACCTATGCTGTGTGTTCCAACCCTAGGTTTTTGGTTTTTGTTGTTTGTTGGTTTTTTTTTTTTTTTTTTTTTGTTTGTTTGTTTGTTTTTTTAAGAGATTCCTGTTTCTGCATATATAAAAATATCTATATTTCCCATATAAATATAAAACTACTTTGGAAATTTTGGGAGTTTGGAGCAAGTGGTAAATAATACACCACAGCACAGATTCGAAAGTTGATAGTCTTTCAGACGTAATTTATTCCGGTAGGACTAAAACTGTGGTGTAATTGCAGCCATTTGTTTAAAATTTGTACATTACATCCAACTTCACGAAGTTTTGAGAAAAGTAATTATGTTAAGTAATCAACATTTTCCATTACAGATGATCTTGCATACTAAAATTATGTTGATCTCAACAGTAAGGCAATATACAGAAATGAACTGCTGCTTTTAAACTGTTCGAAGAAGCAAAGGAAATTTCATCTTAAAATCTGTATATGGAAATAATTTAAAGCTTCATGAATTACACATTTCCTTAATTAGTTTCTTCTCTTTCTTAAATAAGTTGTAACATCAAAGATGCCAAAGGGTAATATAAGCTACAATAATATTCAACAGAACTTAATCTTGACCTTATGTTGTGATAATTTATTCAAATTAACTGTATTCTTCCGTATTTATATTTTCAGTATTTATTATGAATGATATGGAATTTGATGTATTTATTGTGGCTTATTACTGCAGTGTATATATTACAAAAATGAGCATTTTTAAGTCTTAACATTAGTTCTTTCTGTTAACTAGTGGCACTTGTATTGGCTGTATTTTTATTATATATTGTACAATATATATTGTCCATTTGTTTGCAATGAAGTAAAACAGGTTTCTACGTTATATCATGGCTGCCAGTGCATTGTGCATCTTCTTTCTGCTATGCAGTCACCAGACATTCCTCTCTTGCCTAGCAGAGTTGGAATTAGTGCTGCACCTCCTCCCCAAGGCTGTAAAGTCTCTCTAGAAGCTCTGAAATTTCTAGCATTTCTCCCATACCTCACAGCCTGATAGTGTAACAAGAAACTGTTTTAACTGTGGGGGCGTGTTTTGTATCTTATTTTATTTTTTAAACTTAGCGTTTAAATGCTAAAGGAATCCACAGAAATGGTTTGTTTGGCATTTTTGTTTGCCCTTCTGTGACACTAAAACACTTTGGTGAGTGGAATAAACTACATGATTTTTCTGCAGATACCACAATGAATTTAATCATTTGGTCAGAAGTTAATGAAAGAATAATTGTGAACAGTTGTTGGGGAAAAAAAAATGCAACAGCTCTCTCTGGTGGTCAATTTGCAGAAACATCAATGGCTAGAACAGCATTGTAGCCATACTAGCAAATTTCAGGACAACTGCTTTATTATTTTGAAAATTGCTGATCAATATTGCTTCCTTATGAAAACTATTAACAATACAGCTCTGTGCCATCTTTTTATTCTGATACTTAAAATTGTGCTTTACGTTTGTAAAAGGTAAGTTGATGGTAATTGCAATGACAAATTGCATACAGCTAAATTATTTGTATCTACAAAAATTGATAAAGATAAGTTGTTCTCTATATCATAAAAAAAAAGTTCTCACAGGATTTTATGTAGCATTTGGTTTAAATTTATTAGGAGCTACATGGAAGAGAATAGATAAGTATCTGTTACCAGGCTGCTTTTGGCATTGCCACAAACTATGGTTAACAGTGCTCCAGGGCTTGCTAAGACATACCAGCATAAAAAAACCTCGGAAAACAACTTTCCAAACCTGTATTCTAATTTAAGACTTAGGGATGCCATTTCAGAAACAGAAAGGCTTAACTCTAAGATTCAGCTGTAATAATTCTCTCATAGTTCTGTACTCACATTTACGTAGACTGGCAGATACTCCTAAGGGTATGCTGAGCTAGTGAAGTCCCAGTGCAGGTAATAGTGCTGTGTCCAGGCAGTCACAAAGAATCAGGTCGGCAGGGTCTCTTGTTGGTGGGAGAGCAGGAGCTACCTTGAGCCACCCGCCCTCAAAGCACATCTAGAATCTGCTTCATCCTGCCAGGAGTAAGCCTGAGTTGTCTGTGCCTGAAATCAAGCCTTCTTCAACAGCTGCAGCTCCTTTCCTATAACATAGCACAGTGAGATGGAGATTAACACTAGTTTTTCTGGTCCATTTAGTAGCCTACAAAGCCAGCTGATTGATGTACAAGTTTTTACATACTGCATATGTAACAATAGTACTTCATTTTCTTTCCCCAGGGGAAGAGCAAAACAGCACTACTGAAAGTATTTTAAATTTAAAGCAAAGGCAGTAAATGAGCCAGAGAACTCCCTGTGAAAAACTGATTTTCAGTTTGCCATTTGTATGAGGACCATCATCTTGTTTTTCAGAACTGCTGATATTTGGCTCTTAGAAATGTAGTGCAGCATATTTCTAAATAAATAAATAAATAAATAAATCATCAATTTAATAGCTTAGAAGAGAATAAACTATTATGCTTTAGATGTTTCAGTGTATACAGTGACCATGAAATTTGCAAGACAAATAAAGAGACCTGCTGAAGGAACAAAACTACATGTTTTCAAAAGGCAGTAGTGGTAGGTTATTTGTTTTAAATTTCTTGTTAAAAAAAAAAGGACTCTGGAACAAGAAGGACCTGATAGCAAGGGGAATGAAGCACGAGGGAAAGCACAACTGACATTAAGCTGTTCAAGGTATAGCGATACAGCACCCCAGACTGTATTCACTACAAATTAATTATTTTCCCATTTAAAGAGTGTTCTGCATTATGCAACAACTGTTTCTTGGTTTCTAACAATAAAATGGGAATTAGCTTGCATAAGCTTTTGTTCATATGGCTTAGTTTTATATGCACACTACTCAAAGCACTACGCAGGCAGAACACGTTTTGATTTCCACATTTGTGTGTACCTGGTTTGAGCGCTACAAGCTGCGAATAATGGCAAACCAGAATTTGTGCAGTAGATCCTCCACAAGGAATAATGGAAATCACCATGCAAAAATCACATCTATTTCTATTTCTTCAGGCATTTCCCCCAAAAATATTTGAAATATACACTGGAACTGCACATTACCTTTTAGAAGCAACACTGCATCTTCCTTCCCTTCCTTCATGTCAAAAGCACAGGCTAACCCTATCAGTCCTTGTATTGTTCCATTTTTTTCAAGTTCCTACTCCAAGTTGCTGCCAACAACGAAGACTGCTTCTGCTTTAACTCATACAGCTCAGACCTGGCAGGCCAGCAAACCCACAGAAACCAAGTTTTGTTCCACAGCCAGCAAAAACATTGCAAGTCCACACTTTAACCACAGGCCTTGAATAAGTCAATAGATTGCCTTGAGCTCTTTATTTCCAGTTACCTAGACAGGGAGGTAGTAACCATGATTCACCCTGATATTCCCTACATAACAGTGACTACTTTTTGCCTAGAAATGGGAGGATGATTAAGAGGCAGCAGTGTCCAAGAGATGGGAGGTTAAACTGACTGTCAGGAGAAAGAAAAAGGTAGTGACAAACCTACATTCAGGAGTACTGCTTGATTCTCACCTCTCCCTGTATAGTTAGAAACAGTGTCTTAGTTTCAGCTGGGATGGAACTGCTTTCCTCAGAGTGTCTGGTATGATGTTGTTTTGGTTCTAAAAGAAAAACATTCTTGATAACACACCAATGTTTATAGTCACTGCTAAGCAGCGCTGTGCAGAGCCAAGGCAGTTCTCAGTCAAGAGCCCAAGGATCTGGGAGGGAACAAAATTAGGACAGCTGACTTAAACTGGCCAAAGGGATATTTTGTATCATATGACATCAAATGGAAGAAGTGGAAGACATATACATATAAGTCTATGTATATATGTGTGTGTATATACACACACACACGTATTTACGTGTGTATATATGTATATCATAATTACTATATTTTTCCTTTTTTCTATCTTAGTAAATACTTTCATCTTAACCCACAAGTTCTGCTTTTTTCTTTTTTCTTTTTTTTTTAATTCTCTCTCCCATCCCATGGGGAAGTGGGGGGAGTGAGCAAAAGACTGGTGCTGAGGCACCTGCTGGGTTAAATAACAAACAGTCTAACAACATATTAGCAGCAGTTTGTATTGCTGCTTTTGAGTTGTGCTGAGTCATCTTATTACAGCCAGAGAATTCATCTGTTTAAAGAAGGGAGACTTCAAGTTACTCTTTTTTTGACCTGATATATTTCTACCCGTTAGACTGAAAGGATCCTTTCAAAGCCCAGTAAGTCCCAGTGGATTTCATTTTCTCAAGATTATGGCTACCCTGCCTCAATCAAGTAGGCACCTGTTGGTATCTTCCACAGTTAGTCGGCCTTATCTTCAAACAAAGCAGTAGAACTGAACTTTAAATAGAATATCAATTATCTGGGAACATAACACTTTAGGGCAGTATATTTGTTCTGAGGTCAATATCCCTAGGAAATTCTCCACTCTTAGAAGCCTCTTTTGTGCACACTGACACAACACAGCATGAGAAATACGCCAAGGAGAAAGCACAGAAAATTTTCAAAAGCAACCAGCCATTTTAAGTATGATCTAATGAAGTGTAATAATGACTTTTAAATGAAGTGTCTGAAGAATAGATAAAATACATATCTAAAAGGTGAGTTCTGTTGTGTAAGTAATAAGGTGACATTGATGTGTCACATCAGCTACCTTCTAGTTTGGTCACAATACCAAATGCAGATACAAGTATTTCATATAAGTATACGTACAGATTAAATTAAAGTTTTAATTGTATTTGATGGCCCATGAAAACTTGTTTCTGGTACTGCCCTAAGCTGTAACACAATTGTGCAAAAAAAAAAAAAAAAAAAAAATAATCCAAAAAAAACAAAAAAAAAAATAAAAAAAAAAAAAAAAAAAAAATTAAGAATTAAAAAAAAAAAAAAAAAAAAAAAAAAGCCCAACAAAAATGAGAATACCAAATGAACAAGGGTACTGTTTGAAGTGTCTACCTTTGAGAGTAATTTTTTGCAGTCACTAGCTTTAAGAATAAAGACCACTTTAGAAACATAAATCTTACTCATTAAACAAGTTATTGCTTACCTATAGACATTTTTGTTCTTGAAACTCCTCTATCCTATGCAACAAATAGAGTTGAGAAAATACATTCCTACTTTTTATTTTGCAGACAGCTGAATTGCCACCCAAGTTTCTGTAGTGTGAATATAGTGTTGACCTGATTCTAAACAACATTTAAATGCAATTGACTGCCACAACACAAATCAACCAGAACCTATATAATGTAAAACTGTATCGTGAGGAATGGGGTTGGGCAGAAAAAAGACAGTTGCTTTCTAGGCAAGTTTACTTTCGTTAGTCGGATCCTGGAACAGCAATGTTTACTTTTAATCTATACGTGGAATGCTGCACAGTTTTAAATCCTTCTATGCTGATCCATTGCCCCCCAGACAACCGAACAGCACCCAATCTAGACACTGATATTTCCAAAACAGCTCTTCACCAATCCTATTCAGATTTTTTTTTTCTGCTTCTGGTTTCCTATTCTTTGATACTGCCTGATTTTTGAAAGGTCTTTTTTTTCCCCTTTAAAAAAAATGGTAATCTTGTTCTCTCAACCCAAGGAGAAATTGAACATTTAAGCAGGACATGCCAAAGTTGTGCTTTCTACCTCTTATAAAATAGAAAGTCTAGCTAACATTTACATAATGTTTACATTACTGCGTCCAGTTTTGGGCCCCTCACTGCAAGAAAGATATTGAGGCCCTGGAACGTGTTCAAAGGAGGGCAACAAAGCTGGTGAGGGGTCTGGAACACAGGCCATATGAGGAGAGGCTGAAGGAGCTGGGAATGTTCAGCCTGGAGAAGAGGAGGCTCAGGGGAGACCTCATTGCTCTCTATAACTTCCTGAAGGGAGGTTGTAGTGAACTGGGGGGTCAGCCTCTTCTCTCGTGTCATTAGTGATAGGACCAGAGGGAATGGTTTCAAGCTACGGCAGGGGAGATTCAGGCTGGACATGAGGAAGTATTACTTTTCAGAAAGGGTGGTCAGGCACTGGAACGGACTGCCCAGGGAGGTGGTGGAATCACTGACCCTGGGGGTGTTCAAGGAAAGGCTGGATGTTGTGTTGAGGGACATGGTTTAGTAGGAGCTATTGGGAATAGGTGAACGGTTGGACTGGGTGATCTTTTAGGTCTTTTCCAACCTTGGTGATTCTATGATTCTATGATAATAATGAACAGAACCAACTATTGTAGACTCAACTTTAAAAATACATTTTTCAAAACCTTTGGAGATAATAGCTTAAAAGGGAAGATTTAATGCTAATAACACAGGAAATTGAATCCATTCACTTTTTTTTTTTTTTAAATCACAATAGTAAATTAAGATTTGGTATACTATTGCGCTGTTGAAACAACTGAAATTCACGTTTGAAGTTCCTGTTTGAAGAATTAAGGAGACACATCAAAAAGATTGTATGTTCCTTTCTTGGAATTTTTGATAACAAGTACAACCATAAATGAGATCCGTAAACAAGAAGTTCAAAGAACTGGCTATGGTTCTGACAATCCAGGTACTGAATTTGAGCTCCTAGAACTCAATCTGATATTTTTATCTTATATAAGGCCAATTCTCAAAATGTAGGAAGTAATGCTCTGAATTTCTTTCAGTTTCACATACTTCTATGTTGTAATTGAATATAATTAAAGAAAACGCATACAGCAAAATATAAAGCACAGAAAAATCAGCACCACATACCATACTTACTTGAGAAAGATGTCGATGTAATAAATTACACCAATGAGAACATCTGCTTCTGACCCCTGAAAAAAGAAAGGCAAAGAAATTTAACTTCTCAGGAAAGATTGAAGGCCAGAGCTGAAAAAGGACAGAGATGATGTACAATAATTCATAAATGCATTATTTTATTTTATGTTTTACTAGTGCTTTGTTACTACTTTTTAAAAACATGTAATTTCAAAAATGTTGTAATTAATTTAAAAAAAATCTGTATCTCCAAACACATTACAACAGATCTTTAATTGCTCTTATGAAATTGTACGATATCCATATGTACACACACACACATACACACACACACATTTGGAAGTGCAATGCTTAACATAGACACGATACTTGATTTCAGATCTTAACACGGAATAGAAGAAAAAATGTACTTGGTGCCTTCCACTGCTGTTTACAAATCTGCTAATTCCTTTTGCTCAAGAAATTAGACATAGTTAAAAACAGTCATTAGTCAGCTGCTCAATAATCCCCAACTGTTTTCTGTTGTAAACCTTCAGGAGAAAAGCAATTTCTTCTTATGTTTCTTCAAACGTTGAACTCATTTTTCCAATATTCTGAAAATAAGCAAAAGCAGGCTTCCTTTCCCCCACTAGAAAACAATAACACCACACCATATCCATCCATTAACCAGATCCTACAGATAAATAAGCATTTCTCCTTAATGATATTTGTTATTTACCAGAAAAAAATCTGAAATGTATGTATTTTGTCCTACTTAATATTCCCTCCCTTATTATTAGTCTCAGCTCTATATTTGATCTAGCAGCCAAATACTTTTTTTTCCCCTGCAGCAACCGTGATCTTTTCCTTAATCTCCCTTGCCTTATCAGTGTAGTTCTTGAGGGAAATACTAAGTACTTCTGAAAATATTATATTAATAGGCCTGATCTTTTTGTTTCACTTTCTTATGTGCACGTTTCTTGTGATTCACATCATTAAAGAGTTCATCATTAAAAAACAAGCTGGTTGCTATTAAACCTACTATTTTCTTCCACCTGAATACAGCTGTTCAATGCAATTCTTTTGATAAGCTGCAAAACCTAAGAACCTTTCTACCTTTGATGCTTCCCATACCTACTAAGTAACAACACTGGCACTTTCAGATTACATTTAAGTATTTCCCTCATATTTATTGTGCTGCTGCCTTACTACAAATTTATTATTTTAATTTTATAGAATTTTCCCCCACATCGTAAAACATGCAAATTAAAGGTTACTTTAAAATCTTTGCAATTCAAATCAACCAGCTAAGTGTTCTCCAAATCAGAGTATAAAGTTTATTACCAAATAGTTTACCTTGTTAAAGTGCAATTTTTACGTGATCTTACATGCTTTAAGTTGGGGTGATCATTAATCTCACATTCATACCCTGAAGTAAACATTTCTAAGTGAGAGTAAATCTCTGTTCCTTAGAAGGACATTTTTGTACAGAGTTACTTTCACTAAAGAAAGCCTGAAATACGCACAGTCAGAAAATGGGCATGATTGGCAACTGCAATGAAGGCTAACAGAATAGTGCTTAGCAAGTGTGCATCCAGTAAAAGAACCAAAGAAATAAATACTATTAAAATAATCAGAGGAAGGCTATTTCGGAAGTCATAGCTCTACATTATCTACTGAAGTACATTTTTGGATCCTTAAAGAATACACTATTTCATTAAAATTGCTAGCAAAGCAGTTTGGAAGGTCAACTTCTCACTGTTAAAACTGAAGTCAGTCCTTCAAAAAAAGAGGAAACATCAAAAAATAAATTTTAAAAAAAATATCCATATTTAGGTGTTTGCACAGTAAATTATGTACAAATAATATTAGAAACACATTAGGTAAACACTGCATAAATCACTAAAAGCTGAAAAGAAAACACATTAGTAATTTAAAAGCAGTAACAAAAAGCTGAAAATGTCTAACAGTGTAACTGCCATGAATTTTAAACTTCATAACATCATTAAAAAAAGTACAATTTTGGCTAAACAAAAGGAGATTAATATCAGAGTAGGCAGGTTTTCCATTAAAATAATTCCATATAAATAACATATTTCAGTGAGAATTGTTTTTTCTTCTACAACAAAAGGGTTGCTTTGCTAGAGGCACAACAGCACAGTATGGTAGCCTCTTTGGTTCTTTTTCAAATGAGGGAGTTTAAAAAAAAAAGTAGTGAGAAAAGTTTCACTTAGTGAAATAAACAACTTTTTAAAAAATTACATAAAGTCAACAATTGAGCATGAACACACACACACACACACACACACACACACACACACACACACACACACACACACACACAGCCTTTTGGCTTTCAGATGGCATACGATACTTCCTTGTAACTCTACAAAGTAAACCAGTTGTCTTCAGAAATACTTACAATATGCGGTAAAGCAATATACACATGGTCCCCAAGGTGAAAAGGGACTACAGGATCTATGAATCAATGGTTAACACACAGTCTTATCATGCAAATATTGTAAACATTATCTTTAATTGGGACCTCAAACATTCTTTGGTGTAACAGACTCCTAGGGAATCTCTGACTACACATTTTATATCCAATTCACACAGTAAAGAAAAGGAAGAAAAATTTTGCATTTGAAGTATGCATTCCTTTAAAACACAGTATACATATATGGTCTCTGTTTAGAAATGGAACTGCTCTTTTAATAAAATGCTCCTGTCTATAGATAGCAAATCTTAATTGTTGTGGCCAAAGATCCACTTCTGGAAGGGGTCTGATGGGTTGCAGGAAACCAAACTGGGATGCTCTCCATTTCCTGTAAGGCACATATGTAGTGCTGCACTGTACAGAGTTTGATCCTAAAGTGGGTAAGAAAGAAGAGGGGAAAAAAAAAAAAAAAAAGGTAAACACTGAAAATGCTGTTTTCCTCCATACATCATTTTCTGCAAGTTCATTGTTGTAAAAAAAAAATAAAAATAAAAAGAGTAGGTGCATGCTGTGCAGAAGGGGGCCAGGAAAAGAGTAGTATGCAAGTGCTAACTTGTTTTGCTAGTAAAAAGAATTATTTTAAAAGATCTAAGCATTTGAATTGACTTCCAATGCACGTCCAGACATACACAATAAAACACATCAACTGTTTTTGTAAGCGACTCTTCCAGTGAAATCATCAAGTTTTGAGCAGGTAACCAAAAAGCTATAATTATCTAAATTTTCTTCCCAAAAAGGAACTTACTCCTTTTTTGGCTTCAAGTTCTGTTTTCTTGGGTTTTCTCTTTTATTAAAAACCATAAATTAACTCATCACTAATAAAAAAGCCCATTTTAGACTGCATGTCTACATACCTTTTGATGCTGCCATTGCTCTTCTCCAAAGGCAAAGATTTTCTGGCCTTTGTAGCTACATTCACGAAGCTGCACAGGTCCTTTAGAAGCATGCAGACAAAGCTCCTTCTGAATGTTATGACGAATTTCATGGTGTGCAGAATACTCAAAGTACTATTCAAATAATTTTTTAGAAGTTTAGTAAGTAAATATCAACGAGAGTATTAAATTAACTCTGACATTCCGATACACGAAACAATAGATTTCTTTTGTTATTCAACAGTTTGAAACTACAGAATCATTTCTTTGACTTTTAGCATACACATCTTAGAAGTGTTTCTTAAAAAATGCCTTTTTTAATTCTGATGCAATGGAATACACTGAATAGTACTTAAATGTAGAATTAGTTAAATATATATGTATATATACATATATATATATATTTTTAGTGCATGTACACAATCATGCAAGATTTCATTGCATGCACTCCCAGAAATCTTAACTAATACATGATACAAAGGGAAGAGTAGAAATAGTTGTATGGATAAGTTTAATTTTGTCATTTAGTAACTAAAACAAGAAGTTTTATTCAATTTTCATTGCTACATTTTTATATATTCTCAGAGCAACCAAAACCCAATTTTGTCACATGGACAGTACTGATTGCCATTAGTTAACTTTTGCTGCTCGAAGTAAACAATAAATGCTAACAAAAGGATTCTCTGTGAGGTTGTCATTACAAAGAAAAGCATAATGTAAGGACATAATTTGTGGGTATTTTACTGTTATTTCCTGACAGAAGATTACTTTCAAGTCTCAGGTATCCTTGGCTATAGTTCAGGTCTAAACAGGCATTTAATTCTAACAGTTACAGACACAGCAGTCCTTTTATACCTCATATCCTGAACATCCTGGTCTCTTTCTTTAACCAGCAGGCTTTCTATCACTGTGTCTCACGACAACTGTTTTTTGGCTCCCTGTGTCAGCCTTTGCCATATCTGTCCTTTGACAGCCCACGCTCAGAGTTAGCACCCTGTTGCTTTCAACTGTCTGTCCAATTAGCCAGTTTCCATCTTCCCTCCTTGCCTTGGTAATCAATGCGAGCAACACTGAGGAACAGACACCTCCCTCCTAAGTTCCTACGCCCAGCGTCACTACCTGAAACAGGTACTGTTAGGTACCTGCTTAGCCATTTAGCTCCCAAACATAACAGTTTAATCTGTTCATCTAAGTAAAGCTTTTTTAATTTATCTTTGAATCTTAGGGACTCTCTTTGAGCCATGAAAATAGGACTTGGAAAATTGCTTTAGGAATTAATTTATCTTAGACATTGAAATGGACATGTTATCTCCTCTAGAATATGTTACAAATGAAAAAAAGTTACACAACTTTTATACAACTCTGAAAACTAGGTTCTCTGTTCCACTCCCCTCTCCTACCTCAAACATAGGCGGAAAGGAGAGGTAACATGAAAAACTGCAGCCTGCACTGCTAAAGTCTGGTAAAGAGCATAAAGCAACTGAATGTGAAGGATTAAGTAAGCAAATACCCACATCTCTTGTGTATTACTAGCACAACCTATATTAAAAGAATAAAAGCTGTTACAGCATGGCAAAAGGAAAAACAACACACTTAAAAAGACAGTTTTAGTACAATCCAAGGTAAGTTAGAGAGAGGTGACAACAGAAGCATATAGCGGGTCTTTTAATATAACATCTTGATACAGTATTAATGACTGTGACCATTTGAAAAGGATAATATAATACCAGAACAGAATAAAAAAAAAATTCAGTACTGTAAGGAGCTAACATAACAGGGTAGCGATTAAACTAGACAGTATTCCTTCTCCCACTAATATTGATTAGGAAAGCATCAGCTGACTAGGGTCAAGTGTCTGAGTTTCCACAGTGCCATAAATGGTTGGCTTTTACAAGTCAAGTTCATTCCCCAAATAACTATAAAACAGCACTGTACATTTCTGGGGGAGGGAGATGCTAATTTTTAGATATTATAGTGCCTGAAGAATTCAGTACCGGACATCAATAAATGTCTGCAAGTCATACTGCAGGAGAAACAGGAGATCATTGCTCCCCCAAGAGCTAAGCAACAAAGAAAGCTCCTCTTGGACAAGTTCAGTCATGTAGTTTACTTGCACGAGCCAGTATAGAGTAGATCACTTTGACCTCACACTACGAGGCTGTGAGCGTGACAGGAAAGATGGCTCAGGCCGACCACTTGGTCTCCCACCACTGGCCAGATTCCCATCTTCCTTGACAGTGTGAGTCCTGCTGATAGAGACAGAAGCAATTGGAGGAAGCATAAGGAAAAGAAGAGTTAAGAAGAAAACACAAGAAAGTAGTAAAAGTAGGCTGAGAAGATTCTGCACAGGAACAAGAGACCATGTGAAGTAGTGCAATTACTTAAAAAATCTAATCTGTATGTTGAACATAGGATGTTAGATGTGGGACACAACAAGAAGAGCGGTGAAAAAAACCTGCCTTGAACAAATATATACACACACACACACATACATATATACATTTGAATTCTTAAAAAACTATATAAAAAAAATGTAAATCTTGCATGCTAAATATGAGTCCATTCCACTACATCAAGTTAAAAGCTTTGCTATGGTAAACAGTTGATCATAAAAACCAGATATTTTACCTGATTTCCTCCAAGTCCATGACAAGAATACATAATCAATGGTTTACCACCATGGTTGTTTTCACCAACATCCAGACACATGTGGTTACCTACATTTTTTAGCTAAAGAAAATTTGTTATCAGCAAAAAAGAAATACAAAAGCTCAGTGAGGATGAGAAAAAAATAAACTGCCTCACTTGTGTAGAAGCCTAATCTTTATCTTATTAATTAAAACTGTTCATTTATTTTTGCTTTCTACTTTGCTCAAATTTTAAAATCTTGTTCCCACAGAAGTATGTTTTTCTTCCTGAAAGTCTATTAACTTCATACAGTTGTCTACAGCCATGCACTGTGAATTACTCAACTACCATTCTCCATGGTGAATCTGATGATTCAGATTACAATTTGAAAACACACACAAAATATTCAAAACTAGAGAAAGGGGAAGTTTTATTTGTAAATACATGCTAAATATTCAGAATTGTTTAATACTTTGTTGGCTTTAGCGTTATGCAGTCTAAGAGGTTAATTGACAGAGAATGTATACTACTCTGAATTAGGTTTATAATTGCCAGAGTACAGCCTTCCTTCCTAATGTGAATTAAAAATTCTCTCTGAATTTTCACTATATAAAGCTAAATTTATTTTGACAATTCAGGAAAACTCACCACCTGTTTAGAACTTGTGTAGAACTTCTGTGGCAGTCACTATTAAGTCATAGGCAGAACGTTGACTATATTATCAGGCTCCAAGATCCCTTTAAGCAAAGCTACTATTGCTTAAGAAGAGTATTTGCTTAAGTTTCATATAATAACATCAGTAGAGCCATAAAATACTCAAATAGCAAGATATGCAGGTGAGACTCATCAATCATCAACAGTACTGATAGAAAACTCCACAGCAATTAACAATAGCTAAAATGTAAACACTATGGCTAAAGTAGCACAAAGGATTAGCTAATTTCTTGAATTCTAGAATACCAGAGAAAAGAATTAAAATTAAACTCACATATCCAGAAAACAAAGGATTTAGGTCTGGAACATATACTTCTGGATAAACATTATTCAGATACCAGGTAAAATTTTTACACTGCAAACGTTGCCTTAAGTCGAGTCGTTTTGAGATGTCTCCAAATGTTTTCTGTTGCAGGAAGAGAAATTTATTGATATTATTAATATTTTTGTACATATAAATCTATAATATCCTGTTCTGTAGCATCAAAAAAGTAGATCTTTTTTAAAAAGTAACTGTGCTAGTACAGTTACTGCAACTTGTTTTTCGTAACACCACTGACATCCTGCCTGTAGCATCTCAGAGCACAAGAAAGAAAAAACCATTGTGACATGCAAAAAAACAACAACAACAACAAAAAGAAGTACCTGTAGTTCATAGAGTGCTTTAACAGTGCTATAAAGTGGCAATGTAAAAACGACTAAAGACCATACTGACCACAGCCATAAAGCTAACCGCTGAGTATATCTCACTAAAGAGAGTGCTTAAGTGGATTAGTTCAATAACTAGCGTAATACTTGCTACCTCCCACACAAATACAGTATCTCCCACACAAAATCCAGTTGTGTTTTTCTGCTAAGCTTGCTTGGGAAATCTACTGCTATCACTGCTACAATGTTCATATAAAGGGTTAAAAAACATCTTCTAAGAGAAAAGTATAAAGTTCCAGCTGGTAAATTACTAAAGTTCCAGATCACTTATAAAAACAACCTTCCCCAGCAAAGCCTAAATTTAACTGAAGCTTCTAAATTGACAGATATAGGATTGATTTTTTTTTTTTTTTTTTTTTTTTTTAAAGGGAAGGTTGTAAGATTAATTGAACTGAACTATGTCTGTATTTTCACTAAAATGTCTACACTTCAAACATACTTTGTCAATAAATAACTTTTTGCTCACCAAAATTTTCAATGCAGCAAGTGTGATTTCTAAAACCACCACCATCACCACCTACTTGTTTCACAATTTTTGCTGCCTCTGTGTTTCTTCGGTAAAAAATTTCTTTATATTCATCCATCCAGACTTCTGCGAGGCGGACTTGATTACGTGTGATTACTTGAGTACCTTTTGGGAAAGTATGGGGACTCTTGCTGCGAAAGACATGGCCAACAACAGAGCAAGGCATGATCTCCAACTGTCCACCACATTGCCATACCTAACAATAACATTTTTTGTATAAGTACAATGAAGTTATGATTAAGGAGATGGAAGAAAAAAAAAAAATTCAGCAACGCTACTGTTCTCTTAAATAGAACAAAACAACACTACCAGCAAGAGAGTATGTATCAGGAGCACTGTAGGTGAAATTCCTTATCAGGTAAACCCTGTAAAATGTACATTTCAGCTATCAACATTAATGACATTTAAATAAAAATAAATCACTTTAGTGAGCAAGTTTGTAGCATAGGTTATTAGTAATCAATTTGCCATGTCCTAGATGGCTGATTAAGCAGAGTAGTCAAGATACAATACTAATTTGTTCTCAAAAATCATGTAGACTGTTAGTGTAGAAACCAGTATTACGTAGCTAAACTTACTCTGAAAGACATTTCTATATTTTCACCTCCCCATATTTCCATTTCATCATCATAACTTCCAATGTGTTCAAAATACTTCTTTGATATTGAAAAGAGACCTCCAGCAAAAGTAGGTGTTCTGCAAAAAGAGAAGATTACTGTGGAAAAGAAGATTCAAACTATGTTTAAGGTAGGTTTTCCAAATATAGATATGAAAACTCAGTACTACTGTTCTGGAATGTTTCTTAGCATTTGTCAGTGCTTCACTCCATTAAAATATTTTCCTGGCACAGGTTATTAAATCTGCCCCCATTGAGTCTCATTCCACAGTTTTATTGTCACTCATTAACAAACAGATTATCAGACAGTATCAGTAAAAATTTTCCCTCTATGGAGGGAAAGTTACTACTCCTTTAGACCAGTAACATGTCTGAGGGCAAAGAATGCACTGTATTGCATGTTTTAAAATGCATAACCAGGCTCCTACAGAAAACATTACATAAAACATCTAAGATGCTAAGACTTGTGACTATACTCAATATGAGTAACTAATTCATTTACAAACAGCTTTTCATTAAGAAAAAAAAAATCAAAACCAACCAACCAACCAAAAAAAAAAAAAAAAAAAAAAAAAAAAAACCACAAGAAAATTGAAGGATATTATTCAAGTTACATTTACCTGATTGGATAGGTTTCATCTTTTCTTCTTTTATTTTCATATTTAGGAAGAGACTCCCATCCAAATGACAAACTCCAGTCAAAATTTCCTCTATTGTGGTTATGCCCATAAGGAGATGGTTTACTAAATTCAAAAGTATTGAGATCTATAGATGCAATATCAGGGCTTACAACAGCAACAGAGTTCTCAGCTATCCTTGCCAACAATGGTTCTAACCAGCCATAGAAGCATTCACCTATAGAAAAAATGGGAACAAGTACTGAATTTTCAATTTGACTATATGGTAGTATAATGGGAATAATTTAACATGACCATAGCAAGCCAGTACAGTTTGTAAACAGCACTTAACTATGACATAAAATAGCAGTAGAAGAGCTAATACTTCATGTTCATAACTCGTAAAAAATCTGTAGCATTAAATCAAAGACAATCACTTACAGTGAGCATCCAGAAAGGTGAGGGTCTCTCCTGTTGCTACTGAAGCTCCCAACAATCGTGCAGTGATTAGACCTTTCCTTTCCTTTTGACGGACTACTTTAACAATCTGAAATTGCTTCACGTACTCATCAAGTTTATCATGCAAGTATTCTAGAAAGAGAAATTGTTTTCAGGATATTGAGTACATATGGCATGGCCTAAAATTTCACTTTACTAAACTAAGAGGACGAACAATTCATTCTAATTCCAGCAGTGACCTCAACATTAAAGCAGTGAACAAGTCCTGACTGTTGAATGTAATTTTTAGGGGCTGAGTTCTGTTGAGACTGAGGATGAAGGAAGAAGCAATTGGCAGACAACAGGGCTTGGAGAACTGAAAATTTAATTTTAAAAGACAAAAGACACTTGCTGGAACAACTGTTCAGCTGAATTGACAGCTTGACTATCAACTCAAAATCCATTCTCACAAATACATCAAGCAAATGCATCATGTACCTACTCAACAGTGTATTTTACTCCAGGTTTTCAGAGGCTACTGTATTTACTCTTGACAGAAGCTATATTAAAAAAAAAAAACAAAAAAAAAAAACCAAAAAAAACCAAACACCACCACCATCAAAAAACCCCACAACTTAAACATGAAAAATTTGGGAAAGAATCTCACATCCTTCATAAAACATCACGCTCTGCCACCCTCTGCCTATCATCATGTCCAACCCCTGGTTCCACAAAGGAGTACCCAAACCCTACACCTGAGAGCTGTGTCCACATGCTCCCTGAGTACCAGCAGCTCAGGCTGTGTCCACCACCCTCTGGTGTAGAACCTTTCCATCATATCCAGCATGACCCTCCCTATTCAGCTCTGTGCCATTCCCTCAGGCCCTGTCACTGCCAACACTGATCACAGCTCAGCACTGCTCCTTCACTCCCCTGTGAGAAGCTGCAGGCCACCATGAGGTCTCCCCTCTGCTCTGGGCTGAACAAACCCAGGAATCTCAGTCACCAGTGTAGCCCTCCTTTGCCTGCTAATACTTTTATGTCGTCCTTATGTTGAGGCACCCCAAACTGCATTCATTGCTCCAGGTGAGGCTGCACCAGACAGAGCAGAACAGGACAACCCTTCCCTCGCCCAGTGCTGGCCCTGACGCAGCCCCAGGTGTGGTTGGCCCCTCTGGCTGCCAGGGCACACTGCTGACTCAGATCCAACTTACTGTTAACCAGATTCCCCAGATCCATTCCCAAAGGCCTGCTGTCCAGCCCCTCGTCTCCCAGTCTGTACATAGAGCCAAGGCTTTCCCCACTGGGGAGCAGCATCCAGCACTTCCTTCTTCCTCATAAAAATGATGAGCACTGTGAAATCTGTGAAGGCAGTGTTCAAGAAGCATCTGGATGATGTGCTGCATGATATGGTTTAGTGCTAGTGGTGGCAATGGTGATGAGGAGACGGTTGAACTAGATGATCTTGTAGGTCATTTCCAGCCTTGTGATTCTATGATCTGTCAAGACCTTGGTGCGAGGCCTCTCTACTCCCAGAGTGTCAACACTCCTCCCAATTTAACATCATCCACAGATTTACTTCAGATCTTTACTGAAATAATTGATGAAAACATTAAAGAGTACTGATTCAAAAATGTACTCCTGCAGAATCCCACTAGTAACAACTAGGGCAATTCTCAGACCATAGTCTCCCCTTTCCCAATACAGCCATGTTTTGATTGTCATGAGAGATTCTCAGGGTCACACCACCATGGCTTTCTGATGTCACAAGCCTCCTCCCTGCCAACTACTATAAATATGGGGACTCTGCCAACAGAAAACCAGCTACCAACAGCCTTGGGTCTTGGTGAGCTTATTCTGGCACAAGGGACAATTTAGATAGAATCTTCCTTCCCACCTCTGCGTAGGAGGATAGAGCCTCCTCCACCAAAGAAGCTTAGGCTTCAAGGGAGCAGCAATGAACCTGAGCCAATGAATGTGGATCCACCCAAAGGCCATGTCAAGCCCATGGAGGTAGATCTACCTTCAGAAGTGAAGAACCAATGGAAGTGGATCCACCTCCATCAGGGCAGGACAAGTGCTATAACATCTTGCTTGCTTGGAGACATTACCTCATCCACTGCCAGCACACCAGCCCTCAATTTCCATCTTGGTGCTGAAATATCACCATCCACTAGAGAGCCCCAGCATCAGATGCTGCTTCCTATCACCCTTCCTATCCTGCCTCCCATTCTCATCCTTGCCAAGGCCTCTCACTTCTTCTTTCCCAAGCTCTGAGGAAAAGGGAAAGACCAGGACTGGAATCCACTGAGCAGCTGCACCGAGACAACAGGAATCCAGTAGATGGCCCTGAGCTCCCTGCAGCATCCAGGTGAGCCCTGAGGAAGAGGGCAGGACTGGGACTGATATCCAGGCAAGCCCTAAGGATGAGGGTAGGACTGGGACTGATGCCCTCTGAGCTGTTCTGAGACAACAGGGAGAGTCCAGCTGATGGCCTCAAGCTCCTTGCTGCCATCCAGGTGGCATTAGGGAAGTTCCACAGGCAGCTGTTCCTTTGAAAAAGCAGAGAACTTTGGTTTGGGTGGGAAAAAGGGCTGATGGACAGCATGAAACCTCATTCCAATTCCTTCATTAGGACCTTTATTCAAGATTGGACAGTAAGCAATTTAAAAGGACGATACAAAAAAAATAATAAATTATTAAAAAAAAAGCAAAACCAGTAAGTGCCTCCATTTTTGGTACTTTCGAGGCTGCACTGGGACTCCTGCAACCCCTCCTGCTCTCTCCAGTGCCAAACAAATTTGCCCTATGGGGTGAGAGCCCAGCTCAGGCCTCAGGCACACCCAGCAGCCCAGGACAGGCTGAGGGTTTGGCCTTTGCCCAGTGTTGGGCACAGAAGGCTGTGGGGGCTATAGAGCAGTAGAAGTGCCTCCACTTCTCACTCCAGGGCAGCACTGAAGGATGGGAGAAACCTCAGCAGCCCCCAGCACCTGGTGGGTGGGGCAGGCATGGTGGTTGGCACAGGAGGGTGCTGTCTGCTGTACCGAAAGACAGCTTCAATCACTCACGAGGAACTCTGTCATGGCCTCAGCCCAGCTCAGAGCTGTGGCCTCCACATCCCCAGTGGCATCTGCAGCCACAGGAACCAACATGGCCACCCAGATGAAGCTCCTAGCCCATGTATGGCTGCAGTTACTGCATCCACCGCTGTCTCCTGCATCTGCCAGTCCAGACCTCTGAGCTCTCCCAGGACAGGCCTTGCCGAAGCAGATGTTTACTCAACATTTCCTACACTGCCCCCCCCCCCCCCAAATTTGTTTGCAAAACAGCAGTGTGGGGGAGTACCAAAGAGAGTCATTTTCACACATACTTCGTAAAGGCTTTCTTTTTGATCTCTCCCAACTTTTCCACCTCTCACAGTAAATTGAAAGAAAGCAATCCCAGATTTCCAACAGAAAAACTTCGCCACAGCTAGGAACAGCTGCTGGATGCCAAATTACGATGAGTTTCATCGCATTAAATCTTCATAAAAACTAAGAGCTATGACCCAAACAAGAGCATCTTCAGACAGAAACACAGCAGAGGTTCAAACCTCCCAAGCCTGATGCCACATTTACCACTGATACCACAGTTATCACTGAGCTCTTCAAAGGTTTTAAATTCCTTGACATAATCAGAATAGGTTTTAAAAGCCTCTCAGAAGAAAATTTCATACTTGACAATTCTCGCAAAGAAAAAGCGAGGGAGAAATATTTTGTATTTTAAAGGAAAACAAAAGGAACAAAAGTACTTGGAACATCATAAGGTGTTTAGTATGGCTGTAAGGAGATGATAGCCTCTTTTATCCCATTCTATATATAATCCTAACACACTTTCAATAAAATAAATAATACGTTCAATGAAAAATGGAAAGACTTCTTACCATCAACACTGGCATCATCCACCAAAATAATTTCCTTTAGCAGTATGGCAGGAGAAGTGTACATCACGCTGTGAACAGTTCTGAGCAGAGTGGACCATGCTTCATTATGAAAAACTATTATAACACTTGTGGTTGGCAACGGTGGGCAACGCTTGAACTTTTGTTCAATGCATCTGCAGATTAGAAAGCATCAGATGTCAGAAAATGGACAAAAAGTTTTGATTCAACCTCTTAAGAGAAACCCTACTCTTCCCAGTATGAAGGTGTATAAATATGGACATTAAATCTTTCAGCTTCTCCAATTTCTGTCCAAGTTTTGGAGCACAAACATAGCACAAAAACAACTCGAAAAGCTGTAAGAAGTATTCTGTAAACAACTGGCAAATAAGAATTCCACCTGAACAACTGGCTCAACTCTAGTTCTCTCACACAACATTTGAGTATATTTCATGGAGCACCCAGGCCTTATTCAGACAAAAACACATTTTTCTATTAAGACCAGCAGATACTGAGCTGAAAAGTCAGACCATTACTATTGAAATCCAAAAATATGAGAAAAAGTATTTACTTGAAATTGAAGAAATGCAGTTTGAAATAGAAAAATAGAACAAATCAAATTCAGGACTTGACTTTTTCTTAGAAACACCACATAATGCTTAGAGCAATACAAAACATTCAAGTGAAACAACTTTAAACATACAGGTTTTCAAGACTGATGTATTCTGGACAGAACTTTAAACCCAACTGTGAGTCAAGCTAACGAGACAATATTTCTGTATTCATAAATTGCACACTTACTGTTTATTGCCTGCCAACTCTAGAGGCTGGCATACTTCCCAAGGCAATTATCACATCTATTGCCAAAGCCCTAACAAAACATACAGGCCAAGTCTCACCAGACAGTTACACTCCCATAAAGATTATTGTGATCTGCACCACACATAAAGTGCTGGCCACCCTACCAGCACCAGCTCAGTATGGACTGTCACTTCTGACATCAACAGATAAAGAATACCGAAGGAGATTTCTCAGAACCAAAATCCACTCTAACCATGAAGTGCTACTGTTTTGTTAACAAAATCATGATATGCCAGTGGTTTTATTAACACTTCATATTTTGTTTTAAAAAGAGTAGGGAATGGATTTTAAAACAGAAGGAAGTTTAAACCATATTTTCAGTTTTCTCCTAAGTAAAACATAACAGCTTCCAGAAAGTCACTGAGAAAACGTAGCAGAAAACCTTATTTAAATATGTTTAACATGAAATGTGAACCTTTCTAAATATTCTTGGCTTCTGCACTCTGGAACATTATGTACTGTAAATGACCATGTATAACCCAGACATTTCCCTTTCTAAGCGATAATCTAATGCTAAACTCAAATCACAGCCTTCACACTTCCGTCAAGGTATTCAGCTAGCAGGACATACACATTTCCACATACTCAGGGGGTCGAGTGTCCGGTCCAAGATCCCGGTGTAACGAAATCCTATCACTTGCAAACGCATTGAAACAGTGTTTTTCTTCTCCACGCTCTTTTTCTTTCTGCTCTTCTGGATTTAGGTTGATGGTTTTAAATGCTTTACCAGAAGCTCCAGGAGCGTTAGGATCTTGAAGAGGTCGATCTAGAAAGGGTTTCAGTTCCATCGCAGTGTAGTGTCCTGGCAAACAGTGTCTGTCTCCAGGAACCTTAGTTTGCCTTACAGGTGCTTTTATCTGCATTTTTGGCTTTGCACCATTGACATTGTTCATAGCATTTAGCACAAGACCTAATACATTACTCTTCTTTCTGACAACTGGCTCAATCCCTCCTTCATCTCTAAAATCTTGGACACCAACTTCTCGTTGCAGTAAAAACAAAAATACTATAAAGACAAACACAATAATGCTAAATTTCCAAAGTTTCCAGTGAAAAAATAATTTCTTGAATATTTTAGGCATTATTTTCAAAGCCATTCTAGTTCTAAAAGTTTATCACAAAACAAAAGCTTCTCTGAATGATGTTCTTTAATACTATTTTACAGCATATCTTGAAAAGAAAATACCTGTAAATCAAAACAAAAAGTAATACGTTAGACAAACAGTACTTACAACAATGTAGAGCTACAAGAAATTACTGGGCAGGAATTAATTCAAACTCCCCAGCATCAAATATCACGTGTCCATGAATTAAATATAGGATTCACCTATCTGTAAAATACCCGAATGCACTTTCCCCATTTTTTTTTTTTTGTCAACACACTTCAAACTGAAGAATCAGAAAGCAGGCTTTCCAGTAAGAACAAAGTATTATTTCTGTATAAAGGCAATGCTTCCCATTAATTTTCTTCCAAATCTTAAAAATTAAGGAATTCTGAGGGAATTTTAGTTCAGTGGTGGGATAGAAGGAAAATTGATGCAATTAATATGGAAGTTCTAGGTAGAAAAACCAGCACTAAAAGTGAACTATAAAGATGTAAAGGGCTCCTCATAGAGATTTAAAATTCCCAATATTTTAAAACCGATTTCCATTTCCAGGTCAGACTGAAGTGACCAGATTGTCAAGGGAGAAATTGTTAAGATTAATTTAGTTATGTATTGTACATGTTAAATGCAGACTTAATACTGGTAATGGGACATGGGGTAATTTAGGCTATGTATCAAGCAGTAAATCTATATATCTTTTGTACAGTATTCTCTGGCATGTTCTGCTGCAACTCATCAAAAGAATATGTTAAAGAGTTCCCCTCTTTCACCTACTAATTTTTATTTATCTATTTATTTATTTATTTTTACAGACGAGCGATTACTCAGTAGCTTTCAAAGACAAGGGAACTATGAAAAATAGTTAAGGACCAGCATTCGAGTGATCAGAATTAAATTCTCTCTGTAAAAATGGCTGCTTACAAGAAGGGGAGAAATAGCAATATCCTGAATTCAAAGCAAGGCTTCATTTTTGTACATGTTGCATCTAAGTGAACTGAGAAAAGAACTAAGCTGCAGCCAGCTAAAAGCCACACTTAATTTCTGCTTGCTAACTACTGACCAAAGAATTGCAAATACACATATATATATATATAAATAAATAAATAAAATAAAATAAAATTGGAAAAACAACAACAATTGGAAAAACAACAACAAAAGATGCAATAATATATACACACACAGTTATAGAACTTCTAGAAAATTTTAAAAGTCACTTGATTTCCCTCAAGAGTTTGTGAATATGGTCAGGTATCCAGTTGTTTTATATTATAGTTTATTTCAAAGCTAAAATAATTTATTTTTAAGAAACTCATACATTGTATTTAACTGCTACTAATCTTGTTGTAGCATCACTACGTAGATAATATATAAAAAATACCCTTCACAATGCTCATAAATTTTCCAAGAAAGCTCATTTAAAAAATCCAATCCACTTCATCTTATATTATTTTCCCAATTTTATTTAGACCTGAAGATTTTGCACTGCAGCAGATGCCCATATAAAGCAAAACAAACAAAATAAAATCATTCTTTCTTTCCTGGGGAAAAGGAAAGAATCTTCACCTCTTTGTAGCCCTCCTCTGGGCACTCCAGCAGCCTTATGTCCCTATATTGTGGCACCCCATGATGCCAGTGCTCTAGGTGAGTCTGCACCAGGCAGAACAGGGCAGGACAATCCCTTCTCTTGACCAGTCAGCAGTGCTGAGCCATGGCACACTAACTCAGATCCAACTTGCTGTCAACCAGAACCCCCAGATCCCTCCCCTGCAGGGCTGCTTTCCAGCCCCTCATTCCCCTGTCTGTACATAAATCGAGGATCGCCTCATCCCAGGTGCAGAATCCAGCACTTACTCTTGTTAAGCAACAGGCAGTTGGCGACTGCCAGCCCTATAACCTGCCAAGATCTTTCTGTACCAAAGCCTCTGCACCTATGAGTGAGTCAACAGCTCCTCCTAATTTAGCACCATCTGCAAGCTTACTTAGTGTGCACTTGAGTTCTGCATCCAGATCACTTATAAAAACAAAACCAGCCCTAAAATGGTGCTTTACAGAACCCCGCTAGTGAATGGCCACCAACCTGATGTAATCCCATTTAATTCAGCCATTTGAGCCCGACCCAATTGTTCACTCATTGCATTACGTTACCTACTGTTCCTGTCTAGCCATATGCTAGGCAATTTGTCCAGTAAGATACTGTGAGAAACAGCATCAAAATCTTTGATGAAATCCAAATAACGACATCAACTGGCTTTTCTTGGTCAGCTAGGTTATTGGCTATGATCAATAACTGTTGTCTTTTAAGTGTTTTCTCCTAAGGTGGCAGGAGAGTCTCTGCTCTGGTGCCTGAAGCACCTCCTCATTGACCTTGGTGCTTGCAGGACTGTTTTTCCCACATGTTTCTTACTCCTCTCACAGCTGCTGCAGAGCATTTTCTAGCCTTTCTTAAAAAATGAGTGCACCACCTGCTGCACCAATGGGTTCAGCTGTGATAGCGTTCAATAGTGAGACTGTGCTGGAGCTGGCTGAGACTGGCACAGGGCAGCTCTGTTCACAAAAAGCACCCATCAGTCCCTCTGCTACCAAAACCTTGCTACATAAACCCAATACAGAAAGTAAAACCCTAAGCACCATCAAAGAGACTGCAACCTGTAAAACCACTTCTGCTAAATCTGCCTGGGGTCAGCTTGAGCCTATAGCCTCTGCACCCTCTTAACCACAATTGCTTTCATAACCCTACACAGAAGTACATTTAATTACACTATTGTTTCTCAATGCACAATGCACAAGCATGGCCAATATGAGTATATCTTAAAGCTTAGAATCAATAAGCAACGTAAATACACTGTCTTCAAACAGGAAAATATAAACATCTTTTTTTACAGTTGAGGTACTTGATATCATAAGAGAAGTTTGGCAGTTTCCTTATTTCACAAGAAGTCATTTGGGCACAGTCAGTCAGGAAAACACTGGGGAGAGGGCAGTAGGTTGGTCTGCTTTCAAACACCACAGCCCTCAAATACTCTTTGTATAACTAACAAAAACCAACATTCTCCAATCACCTCTCTGGGACTCTTCATGGCGGTAAAGATTAAACTCAGATGAGCATCCTGTTATAAGATACAACATGAAAAGGCAGGCAGAAGGTAATTCTACATAACGACATTGAATTTCACCAAAGTTTAACACTGAAGTAATGCTTCAATTTGAGACCTGAATTTTTATTCAAGTCAAAACACTTAAGATTCTCTTTTGATTTGATGATCTGGCCTAAGGCTACTCAGAAAGGGTAGAAAAACAACAAACCATGGTTACACATCCGTTATTTGACTTAATAACACTTAGTTTCCACTAACTTAATAATTACGTTAGAGTTAAAAATGCATTTATCGGATTTCTGTTCTCTGCTTTCAGCATTTAAATCAATGCAACAACTATTATTTACACTAAGCTTGCTTCATCATTTTTTTGCCAGCTTTACGTATGCTATATGAAATTAGGCTTAGTTTCCCACAAAAAAAGAAAAGTCTAGACAGTACCAGAGACATTTTACGTACATTGTTGCATATAATTCTGGGGAATTAAATCTTTGCTGCTGCCAGCTCTGCTATCAGCACAGTAACATGTTCTTCAAGAAAGATTTGATGTGCATAGATATGCTTTACTGAAAAACTTAGTCTAAATTACTGTTAATTTTCTTTGGGATTATTTCCTTCAGAAACTGAGCATATGCAAATCCTTAGAAAACTTGTGATCCACACAGCAAATCAGTCAAAATATCTGTGAAGAAAATAAACACAATCTAAAATTCATCAAGACTATTTCTTACGTCACCCATGTTTTGCACACATCTGTCTTTAAACAAGTCGTATAAGACTTAAGCAGACTAACGAGCAAACACAAATGGGCTTAGCAATTTATTCTGCCTTTGGTTTTCTTCATAACTATTATTTCTTTTTATCTGTGTGCACCATGATTTCTGTTTGAAGGCACATTTCTCTGTAGTGGAGCTGCGTGCCCTGCCTGTTCATGCATAACCAGTGCCATAATGCACAGGTGAAACACGTCTGCCCCCAGGAATGAGAAGGCAACTCCTGTAAAGGGGTTGTGCAAGGAGAGCAACACAACCTATCCTTTCAACAGGCACTCATACATTCCAGCAGCATGCACAGCAGCATGTTGTGCAGAGAAACAGTGCACATGGTGTTTCAGAGGTGCTTTTCAGAAGAAAGAGTCAACTGATAACCTTGGGATAGTGTGCAGCTGGGGTGAATTGCACCAACACTTCTCCTTGGCCACAAATGCACGAACTCTGATACAGAAAAATCCCGAGTGCAGTGTTACTGATGAAATACCTTGAAGGGACAGTGTTTAACAATAAGAAAAGGGCTCTCTGCCACACAGAATAGTATCAGTTCCCGGAACACAAACTATATTACACAAACAACTGTCACCAAAGCTGTATGTTTCCTAAGGTTCTTACCCAGAGTAATTCTGTAGTCAGCAATGCAATCTTCACTTGCCACAAGCATTTCATACATTTTTATGGCGCAGCAGCATCTGTAAACACAGACCAGGCCACGGTTCTGTCCTTCAGGACATGCTGAAGAAATACGTGGCACAGTTCAATTCCTTGATGTAACTGGTAAGCAAAGTATAAGTTGCTTTTGTTTTGTTTTTAAAAGAAGAGAAGCAGAAAACTTATAAGCACTACAAGCGCCTTCTAAAAAGTGCCAAAAGGCAGCAGCCGCCCTGCTCCACAGCACAGCACAGCAGGCAAGCCGAATGCACAGCAGCCTCTGTTACGTTCTGCCACCCACCAGCTCCGGTGTCACACCGCCTGCCAGCAGCTGGCCTCACAGGACAGCCTCTCTCCAGTACCCATGCGCACACAGCTCCGACTCTGGCAGCTCGTTCAGAACAACACTATTGGCAATCATTAAAAAAAACCAACTATATGTCACGGTAACCTAAATCATCAGAAGTTCTTGCGGAACAATCCAGTAAGCAGGCATTTCCTGGGGTTGGTGTTCACAACATACCTTTGCTTTTTAATAAAGTTGTTTAAAATCTACCTTTTTTTTTTTTTTTTATCTGGATGTTAAACAGTGTTCTGATGATTTCTGAGAATGTTTCTTACAGAACTCGAAAAATGCTTTTAAAAGAATAGTAACAACATTAAGCCTTAAGAATGATTCCAGCCACATCATTTTTTCTCACTATTTAGCTTTACTTTTTATTTAACTCCCGTCACTCCAAAATCACAGTCTGGTTAAAACCTTGTCTATTTTATCCTTCCCCAACACCTTAATGCTCCCCTAACGAGGAAGCAGGCCTGCAAGGAGCAAACATTGATTAAACTCTGGAGGAAAACCCAGCTGACACTAACGACCAGCTACTCCCCCAGACCAGCATAAATCTGACAAGGGCACACAGTTACACCTGTTGGGTGTTGCTCTGCTAAGGAACTTTCCAGCACTTTTTGTTTTCTTCACATGAATCCCACAGCAGATTGCACTAAAACATTAGCTATTGAAGTAAGCACTTCCACTACCCTGGAAATCAAAAATTTCCTACCAACTAAAAAAAAAAAATTAAAAAATAAAAATCACTCAATAAAATCTTACCTGCTTCCCAGAAGAACATGCACACACAGATGATGAAGTCATGGCTAAAAAATGCCACATTTGAAGTGAAACATGCAAGTCTAGCTGAATTTGGAATATTAGGGCTCTCCATAAAAAATCAAGAGCAAAAGCACTTCAGAACATGGGGAAAAGCAAAAGAGCTGCTGAAGTACTGTACCCTGTACTACTGCTTATGATTTATTAGTATTTGACTTAAATAAAGGAACGATTCACAAAACAAAACACGTATAAGTTAAGGATCAATGCTTCATCTAAAAAGGAGAAGCAGAATCTGGTCAGGACCTGCCTGTGCACTCACAGCATTAAGTACTTGCCCCCTGGCTCCACCAAGAATTTCCACTCGTTGTCCCCTAGACAGGGCTGTACCCAACAAGCTGGTGACCAACAAACCCCTGATGTTGCTCCTCTGGATGCATTCTTTGAGGATCAGTCAGGGGAAATCTTGTTCTGCTCCTGAGTATGTTGTAAGAATACCGAGTGTCTTCATTTCCCAAGTGTCAGTTTTAGAAAGTCTAAGGACGTAGATTATTCTAGCACTGATTGAAGTAATTCACCCCAGCGATTACTGCAGAAAAATCAGAAGCAGAAACGTGATGATAACACAATGGGTGAAAGAAATTCAAGCAGAAGCAGCAGCAGTCCAGAACACGCAACTGTATTCCAACCTTGTAAGCAGTCTTCTTTCGGAATTTCTTTAAGATCAAAAAAATAACACTACAACTCCTTCCTTCTGTGTATTCTTCTAAGAACTCTTTCAGTATCAGCACTACCACTGCTTTTCTACAGCTGAGCACTGTATGGGATGGGCAGAGATAGAGGCTAATTCTGGTAGTTCTCCATGACAATAAATGATGAATTAAAAGTACATGGTGACTATACATTAAAACAATATTTATAGCTTGTTTTTACAGTTTTAGAACTACAACAATGCTCTGAATTTGAGTTAAATTTAAATTTTAGTCAACGCTGTAGCTTCCCTTTTCTTCTTGCCAGTTTGGTTTGGGCTGTTGTTAAAAGCATTCTAAACTGCTCCTAAAAATGCCACGATGACAACTGAGCACCACAGCAGCTGTAAAGTGCTGTTATAACTTCATAGTATTGGTGTCTGATTTTTATTTAAGCACCAGAAAACAATCTCTGGATCATATCCAAGGGATTTTTTTTTCCCCCCAATTGCAGTGATGTTTCTAAGATAAGAACAGCATCTAAGTATTAAGTGCAGGCCCTGAAGTCATAGTTTTACACTCTAATTTGCCTTAAAATTTGTTTAAACCAGAAGAATGAGGGGAAAGAAAAAAAAAAAAGAAAAAAAGAAAAAAAGAAAAAAAGAAAAAAAGAAAGTTTCCTCATGTTTTTGCTTTGTTTATTCTGAAATGCGCTGAGCTTTATTAGGTCAGTTACTTTCAAACTGCAGGAAACTCTGAGGTGCCATCTCTTTGCTCTTGCCCTCACCTGACCAGTTCTGCATGTCACTGCTGAACAAACTTCTGTAACAAACAAAAGTAGTGGCTTGACTACAGGATGTTATTCCTAAGTAGCTGTAAGTAGTACTGTGACACTGTTTCGCTGTTTATAAGCAGAACTATAACCTACAGCACAAAGTAGTAGCAAAGCTAAGGAAATGCAGACAACTCTGGGGCAAGACTACACTTCACAAAATGTAGCATTTCGCAGTCCAGAAACTTGAAGCACTTTCCAATCTTACAGAAGATAAACACAGAAAAACTCAAGAGTGCTGGCAAGCAACAGAGCATCAGTTCATGCTATGACCGTGACTCCCTGCACTGCCAGAAATGGGGAGCCCTGCACATCGTATAGCTCATTGAGCAGACAAGCAGCACACGTTTGTCCAAAGCACAGAGGAATTTCCTGGAGCAATGCAGTCTGTAACCAAGGGCCGCACCACAAAGGACGCTGCTATTTTGACAGCAGTCACAGTACCCAGCTGCCCCACCTAAAAACAGGGCAAGGTTGAACGGCCACACAGCCACAGGGCAGGGAGGGCTGCTCTGCCGCTCCCCACGGCATGACAGAAATAGCAGCAACCAACCTACCCTCCGCAACCAACTTAATTTCTACTTTACTGTTATAGATGCCTCAGGAAGGCGGCAGCAGATGACAAAGCGACCGGGCCTGCGGACAAACCCTGCTAGAAGCAGCGCAGTAAGCCACAGAGCGGCCGGGCTCAGCCCAGCAGCACAGCGCTGCCCGTGGGCGGGATCCAACGGGCAGAACGAGGGCACAAGATGTAACGATTTTTGAAACAGAAGGCTAACGCGTGAAACGCTCTGAGGTGAACGTGTAACACTCAAATTGCCAGTAAGGTATTTCTTGTTTGATCAGCAAAAACGTTTAATAAAGACTTCGCAGCATAAGCACGCTCACACAAAGATAGCCTCAGCTTCGCTCGTTTCTATCTGTATCACAAGTTTTATTGCCAGCTCTCGGATACTGAGAAAACGAGCGAAAGCCACGCGTAACACGGAGCGCTGGGAAGAGGCAGCCCGGCCAGCACGCGCCCTCGCTCGGGGCAGGATGGAACGCAGCACGCGGAGCTGCACGACGCCCCGCCGGGACATCCCGCGGTCACCGCACCGCTGTGGGGCCCGGGCCGTGGCCGCCACCGCCGCCTCCAGCGGTCACCGCCCGGCCCCGGCCCGCGCAGCCCCGAACGCCGGCAGCCCCCCCGGCCCCGTCCCTCACGCCCGGCCCGTTCAGGGCCCCTCCCCGCCCGACCCCCGGCGACACGAGGGGACCACGTACGCTTCAGGGGGCTCTCGGGGAAGGGATCTCCCGCCGGGCCCCGGCCGAGCGCCCGCCCCCAAACCGCCCACCCGAGGACAGCGGAGCCCCGCGAGCCCCCGTCACTCACCCTATTCGGAGGGAGAAGGGCCGTCCAGGCGAGCGGCTGCCGGCGGAGGGAAGCGCGGTGTCCGTCCCGGCCGGAGGCCGCCCACGGCGCACGGAGGCTGCGGCGGCGCCTTCCGCTCGGCGGCAGCCAGGTGCGCGCCGCCCCGCGCCTGCGCGCCGCCCCGCCCTCAGCCTCACCTGGCGGCCAGGTGCGCGAGGCGGCGGCGGGAAGCGCACGGATCTTCTCTTCAGCCGCTTCCGCACGCCGCGCCCGGAGGAGCGTTACGTCCGCGCATAGCGGGGCAGCCGCTGCGCGCGGTAACGGGCAGATCGCGGTGGAAGCGCGGCAGAGCGGCGCTGCGAGCTTTCGCCAATCCCGGCCGTGCTGCACCGCGCGCGGCCGAGTGCTGCCCGCGCACGTTGCTGGGAGACGGCACAAAACGCTGGAGCTGAGATCAGAACTTGAGAGAAGGGACGGCCCGCTGCGCGCAGGGACGGACGGAGCGGCGCTTCTCGCTGAAAGGACGCGGGTTGTGAGGAACAGGAAGGGCTGTACAAGTTAAAGTCTGCTTCCAAGTTGCCCAGGTGCAGCAACTTGGGCCCGCAGCGTTTCGGCTAAGCTCGCGGCGGGCACAGCTGTGGCACCGGCTCCAGCGACCACCCGCCGAGAGCAGCTGGGCACGAGGGAACGGTTCTGGCCGGGAACGCCTTCTCCCTCCCATTTTGGCCCGAGCTCCCCCCAGGTTACGTGTTAGAAATGGTGGAGCACGTTAAGTCCTTCCTTCTACCTCTGAAAACTGAGGCTGGAGCTGCAGCAGGTACCCCATCTCTGGCACACAGCAGCCACCTCCGCTTGGTGCAGCCGCAAGGCTCAACCCTTCCAAAGTTCGAGTGATAGTAAAGGTTTTTAAATCTGTTACTTTCCCAAGTAAAGACTGCAAGAAGAGGCATGCTTACTATTTTCAAGAACAGTACTTCAAATCCACATCCAGATCAGTCACTCTGCTCCTCTTCTGGCAAATGCCACCTCACATAGGCACCAAAACAGGAGTTTTAGCAGAGGAAGGAGAAAAAAAAAAAAACAACAAAAAAAAAACACCTTATTAAAATAAGTAAAAAAAAGTCGATTTCTTCGCAAATTAATCAAGAGGTAAAAGCACAGCAAAATCAGCCACAGCTGTAAAGAGCCACAGCTGACACAGCAGTGATCTGACTGCAAGAAGTGGCACAGCCACAAGCAGACAAGTACTTCTTGATGGATTTTATTTTCCAATTTTTTTCCTGCTTATTGCATAGGGAACACACCAACTGGTGAGTTGTTCATCACACACTTGCTAAGAACCAGCAGCCTACCCAAAGTGTTCCAAGACAATGCTTACAGAACAATTTCAACTTTCAACAAGTTCTTTGATAAATATAAGCGCTGTTTAAACTGCGGTGTTTGCAAAGCTGCTCACTCCTCCTCTAATGACTATTAAGATAAAGGCTGAGGTTGTTAAACTGGAGTTTCCTGATTTATGAGCCTTTCTAAAAATTGCTTCAGATGCATTTAAGAATTGATGCAAGATAGTCAAACCTAGCTCAGAAAGGGAACTGTAAATTATTTCTATTTTTCCTATAAGAATCTAATTTGTTTCATCGAATTATATTATTTTACTCAATTATATTTACTAGACCATCTTTCTAATATTGGTAAAAATCTGAAAACAAAAAGAAAAAAAAAGTAGGAAAGAGTATCATCCCACTCCCAAAGAAGTTTACCTATCCCTCTAGAAGATACTCCACACATTCTGTACCTGCGGGGTCAGGACAGTAGAGGAAGTGACACCTATGGCTCACGTTGCTATAGCTACAGGATACCCAGATTCCCAGCTTCAGTGAATGAATCAATAGAAACCACAGCTTTGCTCTCCTCTTTTATTCAACAAAGGCAAACTGGAAGATGGGTTGCCAAGCAACATCATGCTAAAGACTGCAGCTCTTTGAAACGAGCATTACTGATTGCCTTCCATCCTCCCTCTCATCCTCCAGGATTCTCTTCCATTCAAAGCCATTTATTAAGGGACTGAGAAAAAACTACCAGGACATGAATTTTAAAATAACTGTAGAAGCAGAAGGAAAGCTGGAATTAATGCTTAAAGTAAAAGAGAAATGAAACAATATAATTCCTTCTGCACTGAAAAAAGAAAAAAATAGTAAGGACAGAAAAACTTAGACTGACTTATACAAACCAAAAGGGGATGGAAAGACCATTTCCTTCTAAGAATATTTTATTAAAGCAAAATTTCCTCTGAAGAATTGCTTATAGCCACTGTTTCTTTAATTGAAATCTAATGACGTTCCTCAACTGCACACTTATTTTAAAGACTTAACTCATAAAAAAAGCACATCAGTGGCTAGATGTCTTCAAGAAGCCTCAGGATTCCAGAAATCTTTTCTTTCATGCTAAAATCAACAAAAATCTCCACTATAAATTAGCAAGGAAAAGCTTCAAGTCTAACACCAATTTCTATCAACTAATTTCTGTACCATATCATCTTATGAACCATTTTATGAGATGGTAATATGCATCTTATGCTCATAATAAAATAAAGTAGGTGTAGATATGAATAAGTTTTACCTATTTTGAAAATGACTTGCATGTACCAGCATAAAAGCATTTATTCTTATTCTAAACGAGAGCTAAGTTATTCCAGTGCTAGGGAGCAAGCAGAAAAACATCAATCTCATACAGAAAAGGCTGTGGATAAAGAAATGCTCTCTTATTAGAAACTGCCTTGAAAAGCCCTATGTACTTGATCTTTACCAGTGGGGAAAAAAAAAAAAAATCCAGCAGCTTAAGGATTCATAATCTGATCCCCAAAGACCAGCTCCCTTGTAACTCCTCCCTGCCTCTGCATTCTTCAAATCCTTCCAAGTCCCTCATCCTACTCCCATACTATCAGTTTCCCCCAGCCACTTAAGTCTTTTTATTCCTCTATTTTGCTCAACATAAAAAGGATAAGTCTACACTGTAAGTTTCAAGGTTATGTGTGGAAGAAGCAGCCACTTACTCAAGTCTTTTGTCAACTCTCTTTCATACCAAAATTGCAGAAGTACTATACACCTGTTACCTGTTAGTTTCCATTAATTTTATTTTGGCTGACCAAAAGCTCAGCACTTCCTTGAATGCAGGATCTAGAAACCCCCAGTAGGTAGCATCGCTGCATTCAGGATACATATCGATCTGTTTAGGAAACAAGGCTGTAAGTTACCCAAGACATTGCACCCAGTTACAGAAAGGAAGATTACACACAATTTCAAACAGTATTTCATGTACCTTTTATGCTGAGTTGTCAATGTTAAGTTGTTCTTTCATTCACAGCATGCCACCAATCCCTTACAGATCCACAACCATGATACATGCAAGACGCAAGACTAAACACTCCAAATTAAACATGACAAATATTCATCTCCATGAAAGCCTGTAATACACCATGAGTAGAAAAAATATCATGTAAAAATCTGTACAACTGTTAAATATTTAACGGATATTTATATAAGAATCTTAACTTTACACATTAGTATTTCATTAAAAATGAAAGTTTCATCAAGAATAATGCATATGACTTCTTTAATCTTTGAAAAATAGTGTATTTGCAGCATATGTAAAAATAAAAACAAATGAAATCATGAATAGGCAGATTTCTTAAATCAAGATCTAGCATCTTAACAATAAACAAAGACAATGCCTGCGCTCGTTTGGACAGGCTGTTGAGCACTATTTCAAATGAACAAAAATAATACTGCATTATATTCCCTAAAACATACTGACAGTGCTGGGACACAGAATAGAAGAGTGCACTACCTCCTACATAGCATTTATCTGGAAAGAGACTGCTGTATGCATTTGTATTTAGAATTATTTTATTACTTTTCTTAAAAATACACAGTTGTACAGAATACTTGCTATGTACATTGTGGACTACATGTGTAACTTTGAAAAATAGATTGAAAATGTACCTCCAGTAAGTCAGTCACTAGAATCCAAGTTGTGTGTTTATCTGAAATGCACTTGGGCAGTATTCTATAGAGATGCTCCTGGTCTTTATCTTTGTTATTTTTTATTTCTGGATATTTTTTGTACCATACATGCAAGCAGTATTTTCTGCAGAATAGCTACAATTCCTTCCAGGGCTGCAGACTTTTCCTGAAAATAATCCAGACCTCTAATTCAATGCAAATCAATCATATTCACCATACATTCGTGCTGACATTGTCACTGCAATAGTTTCTGAAGGCACCTTATACTAATAAGTCAATCAGTTTAAAAAAAAAAAAGTTATGTTCTTAATGATGCACGGGCCTTGTCAAGTATTTCCTTCCTGATCTTTGGATAGTTTGGATGTGCTTCAAGGACCTGTCAAAAGACAAAAAAAAAAACAACCCTCCACTGTAGAAAGTTCTGCATCTAAAAGGAAAGAATACTTGGGTGGTTATTGCCTCATTGATGAGCTTACACATTCTAGAATTTTGAATACTGTGATAAGTTCTTTGTAAGAATGCAGAAATATCTGTAACGAAAGACTACAGAGTTGGTCAAGATCAATTTTAGACGTTGCTTTCCCTTCCCACCACCACGTAACTGGCAAAAGTGCAAGGGTCAAAGGGCATGCAATTCCCTCCTCTTCCATTCAAGTTAACCTTTCCAGTACTCTTAAATTTCCCCTCAAAATCAGCAAATTTAATTATTTATTCTATCATTATGTCCACTCTGGCTCTAGAATTGTAGCTCTATAATTCGACATCTAGATATATTTGCACCACACAGGCAGAAGTATTTTCTAACAGTTCTTCCAATACAAGCATTTTAGTATTGTCTTCAGCTACAGCTCCATATGAATTTACCAAGCAGCAACCACAGAAAGAGAAGGCACTGCCACTTGAACATGTTTTCACATATGCCAGCCAGCTACTTCATCTCTTATTTACCAGATGGACAGAAAGCTCAGGATAAAGCAAATTAAGTATCCTGTACACAGTCAAACATAATATCAGAAAAATAACTGATATAACAAAAGAAGGATCATTACGTAAAACAAAAGTTATTATAGCAGAGAGAGCACTAAGTACAAATTGTACCTTATGACAAATAGTAATTGCATCAACATATCTCTTTCCTTTCAGGTAATTGAAAGCCAACTTGTATCCTGTAAGTAAAAAGAGGGGGGAAAGGAAGGTGTTAGCTTCAATATCTGTATTAAATAAGTAAAATATCACATTTAAGTTCAATTTGGTCACCATGTGTTTCTATGGCTAATATATTTGTTTTCTGGTTCTCCCTTACCTAAGCCTGTAAAAATTACTATTTAAGTAATTACACTTTAAGTAGTATGTGAATGTCTTTACACACTGATAGACAGCTGCATTGGAATCAAAAGGAGACATTCTAGAGAGCAAGTTTTCCTCCAGGGAACACATAATGGCTGTCCTCTTTCAATGAATGTAGCACCCTACAGAGCTTCTCATCATCAGAGTTTCTGATCTACAATACATCATTCTTTTACAAAGGAAATAAATGATTACATTATTAAAGGACAAAAAAAAGTCACAGATGTAGAAACGAACCCAGGAATTAAAATGCTTTTCTGTTTCACAGTGACCAGACCACTAATAAAAATCTGTCATGAGGAATAGTTAGGCCCTGCAGAACACATCAAGACTGAGGTTTTGAAAGGTAAGAAGTATAGTTCAAATATATCAGCCTGGACAGAGAAGTCCCAGTCCAGGGTATACTGAGGTGCCCCTGCCTATGGCAGGGGGACTGAAACTGGATGGTCTTTAAGGTCCTTCCCAACCCAAACCACTCTGTGATTCTATAATCAATAAAACACTGGTCCACAGGTCACATGGAATAAAATCACAAACCAAATCATTGCAGCCTTAAGTGTTACAGTTAGAGAAACAAAACATGGGGAGTTCATAACCGTAACAGCTACAGAATTTTCTAATAAATAAATAAATAAAACAACCACCAAACCCACAAAAAACAACATGGGTTTTCCAGATGACACCACAGGCCTTCTCTCCCTAAAGCCAGGGAAAAAAGAGAGCACAGATTACAAGCAGCATGCATTTCTGAGGGGCCACTAGATAGTCCAAAACTGGGAATAAAATTTATGTAAATCACCAGCCTCAGGACCTAGAGACAAGACTAAGTGTTGAGTAAGAAACCACATTTTAACCTAAATTTTATAAAGGGTTTCCTACTTTAAATAGTCCACAAACGTAACAGCCCACCTTGGGCTTCAATTAACCATCCAAACTGCAAATTGAATACTATCAAGTTTTCAGTTAGCCATTAATTTTAAAGCAAATATTTACAGCCCTTTAAACAATTAAAAAGAAAATCTTCAAATTTGTCTGATTATCAAAACAGAGTAATGAAATGTTAAGTGATCTGCCAACACTAGATACAGAAGAGGTATGAACAGTTCTCTACTACAGCCAGTAGAGGCTGTATTACTATAGAAATATTATTGAACACCATATTTCAAGACAGCATATTAAAGCAAACCAAAAGAGCTGTAGATCTAACCTTGCACTAAAAAGAGTAAGCTGAAATTTCTTAGTTAACATAGAACAGCTATGTTCTGTCATGGGAGCTTTCCAAATGACTTAAGTAGATCCTTAGACAGCTGTGGCTCTAACGTAAAGAAAAACCAGCAATATTCTCACTATGGAAAGAGAAATATAGTCTTTCCAGTAAAGGGTAGAGTTATTCATTCCTATTGTAGTGCATCGTATATATACACATTATACAAACATGCCTATGGTTGGATTTGATTGGTTTCCATATCTCCAAGCCATCTCATAATTTATTGCTGCATCCTTGTACGCTTGTTCCTTTTCCATTATGTATCCCATGTACTCATAAGCCTTGCAACAGGACTGCAAAATATAATTCATACAAGACTTTATTTAGGTATCAACATTAATTGCTTAAATACTTCAAATCTCTACAACTAGAAAGCTTAAGTGATATTTGTACTAGTTTTGATGACAAGATAGTCTTAATTTAAAATCATTTACAAAGAGTCTTGCAATGACTTCATAAGTCATCCCGAGTCAAATATAGAGTTCATCACAGAGGACACTACAATTACTCCAAAAATGTTCGGCGCCTCCAGAAGCCCTGCAGATACTTCTGAAATAATAATCCTATGGAAAGCATTTCAAGTCCAGCCAGGAACTGCTGTATCTTCCACAGATAGTCTCACTTTTTCTTCACTAAATATTTCCATAGCCTTAATTTTGAAAAATTTTATACATTACAGCTTTCCATTTAAAACAAAAGGCATTCAAAAATATCCTGAAGAGAACACCAAACATTAAATATTTCATTTTCTGTAATTCCAAGTGGGAACTTAAAAGGAACCAAGAAACAAGTCCCAGAAGTACTAGATGAAAATAACAGTTGTAATTATTATCACACAAACATACGCATCAATCTAACTGCAGTAAAAATTAGTAGAAAAGATTTAATAATTTATACAAGAATTTAGTAAACGAAGCAGAAAAAATTGTGAAAATAAACACAAGTCCAAACTACCACATGGCTTTACTGCAAACAGCTCATTGTATCATGTTGACAACAGTTAAAATACTTCAGTAGAAAAATTTAAACTTTTATGAATATATGCACCCTGTTTACAAAGGCAGAGCAAGAATTAAGAGGTTTTAAACCACAGCACATGGGACAAACAGCAGAGGAATGCTCCTGGGACCAGAATAAAAATATACTTTCTCTCATTTGTGATTTAAAAAAAAAAAAAAAAAAAAAAAAAAGAAATTGGTAAGAAACTCCAATTTAACAAAAAGTGCTGAAAATCTCATTATTATTAGATTATTAACCAAACCTAATGCTTTCAGATTGAAAGAAAACCTTATTACAAGACACTAGACTTCTGAAGTGTTCACTCAATGTGTTTACTTACACTGTACATACATATCCACAACAGTAAGTACTGATTGCTAAAAACAACCCTAAGAATAATAAATCAATAAGGAATAAATAATAAATCTCAATAATGTGTTTTCTCAATCAAATGAAATATAACAACTTGCAGGATACATGGAAAAATGTAAAACAGCACCTATTTGTATGGTACATCCTCTGCTTGCCTTCTTTACATACAGATTAGAGAAAAGTCAGATTTACTCTGCTGTTTTGGTAAGGAGCTTCAGATTTCTAAATTGCTAACTTTTCTTCAAAAGGCATTTCAAGCCTTTTAAAAGAAAAGAAGCAATTTGGTAGGCTAGCATAGTCTAAGTTCGTTGACCTGCTGGGGAATTTCTACAACAACGTGTAACTTGTGGCACAGCCATGCTCAGACCACCTATTTAAAGATGTGTCATATTTAGAGAAATGAGTCATATTTACTCTGACATGGTATGAATTATGCCACTTCCACTGGCTGTCCAGACAAGTGAGTAAATGTCCTTCATGGTAGAATTTTTTCTTAACTAAATTATAGCTCATTTTCTACAGAAATAAAATAGGATGTATTCAGTTTCAAGATCCGTATCTGCAGATGTACACAATACAAGTACACTAAGACCTGCTGTACTACCTATTCCTTAATTTCAAACAAAGAAATAAGAAGAGTATAAGTTTGAAAAAGGGAAGCTCTCAGGCAGGTTTCAGAAATGAGACTGAATTATATACCGTACCTCCTTGTATTCATGAATCGAGGAAAAGAAACACAATCAAGCTTCTTCCTAAACCAAATCTGCAGAGTATAAGCAGTATCCTAATCTTGTATAACATATACTGTATTACAAGATGTGTTCCAGATGAAAGAGAGTGAAATGTAGAGACAGAACAATTTGATTAGCAAAAAAGGACAGAACAAGAAAAAAAAACACCATCAGAGCTAAGATCTGTGCCCGTGCCATGCCTGTTCCATGCTTCAGATGAGAAATAAACACTTACATGAATTAAAATAAAAAGGTTATTTATAATATGTAATCACTTACCTTGTTATGCCGAAGGCATCGTTTTAATAATTCACCTGCTGTATCATATTTTGAAGACTGAATATATATGTCTGCAAGCAGAAGCCAACTCTTTTCAAACTCCTCTGCATCAATGGGATTCCAGTTCATTTTTGAAATCCGTTTTAAATGATTTCTAGCTCGTGGAGTCTGTTTCAAGATCATGTAGGCTGTAGCCATTCCCAGAAGTGCTGGTATGTGATCTTTCTGCAGAAAAAAGCATAGTAACTACTTGGTGATTTTCAATTTTTCACTTTAAAGAAACAATTTTTATTTTTTTTTAAGTAATAAGGCATCAGGAAGTTCAATTAAAAGCTAAATTGCAGGAACTAAAGACACAACATCCAATCTTATAAATGTGCTTTTCATCTAGTACAACAATTATTCTTACAATAGCAACCATAAGGTTAAATATTTAAGAGACTGAATACAGGTCTGAGCTCAAGACAACTGCACCCATGCTCAGGAAGTATCCACAGATATTTCTGCTCTACCTAGTGAACTAACTTTATTTGTGAGTTCCTGCGCTTTTATCTTACTGAATCTCTCCCTCAACCTGCCACAGTGGGTCAGTAAGTGGCTGTGTGGTGCTTAGCTGCCTTCCAGGGTTAAAAAACAACTGAAACTTAAACAAACCCAAGAACTCAAACCAAAAGCCAATACACACTTCAATAGCAGACAACATCAGCATACAGTTGAGGTCTAAGTTTTCAACTCAATGCAAGATTTCTTAAACATGCTATTTCAGTGCAAGCTTCTTTGCACATTTCACATAAAATACTCTAATTAGTTTACATAATACCTAATATGACCTACGAGACTAATTACACAGTCCTAGTAAATGTAAGGGAGAAGACTGTGGAAATGAGACAAGTTACTAACCTCAGCCACTACTATTTCAGTGAAAGTGTTCAGTGCTCGTTCGACATTTGATTTCTGCTTGGTTGCCATGAGACAATAATTTTCCATGATTCGCAGCTGAATGTGACCCTGAATGGTCTGAGGCTTGAGTTCCTTCAGAAGATTTTCTGCTGTTCTTACAGCCAACTGCACAGACTCCTGCTTCTCTGTCGAATTACTGTTACCATAAGCCATTTGTAAAAAAAAAACAAAAAAAACAAAAAAAAAAAACACACTTTGAACATTTACCTTTATATATAAAATTACGTTTTTATACATCAAATAAATTACAAGTGTGTACAGGGTCCATAATAATGTGATAAAGGCACGCATCTGTTACACAGGCATTCTACATTCTCTCCTGTAACAATGGCAGGTCTAATCTGTCTATAACCTATCTTTTAACCAAAACTTCAAGTGCTAGGATTCCAGATAAAATCTCCTACACTTTCTGCTTAACAATGATTTATTTTTCGGTTCAGAATTGTTTCTCATCTTGTAGGCAGAATACTCAAAGCATTAGGTGAGCCCAAAATTCTAGCAATTTACACGATCAAGAAACATCATTAAGGGGTAGAGGAGTGTGATAACAGAATAACCCAAGCAATATTTACTTCATTTGCTTACCCTATGTCAGCATCCAGATTTTCAAAGACTTCACCACCTATAGTTTCATTATCTGGGTTCAAACAAATTTCAATCATGTTGTAGACTGCATTCTGTCCCCAGTCATTGTCCTTTCGAGCTTTATTAAAATGGCGGAGTGCATCATTTGGTTCACCTGTATACCTACACAGATAATTACACTACTCAGAGTTGGGCAAGTATAATTGGCTGCCCCAAGTTGTACCTAAAACCCAAGCATTTAAAAAACAGCTCACATATTTACACACACCAGTAACACAAGTTCTGAGAAGCAAATGTGGTACTGCAAGGAACAGGCTTTTGCAGATTAAAAAAAAAAAATCTGGGAAATTCTAAAATTTCAAAGCTTTACATCATTGAACCAGAAAGAATATCCTTCGTTACTAAACAAAATATGAAAGCCACATGTGAGATAAAACAGCTTTGCTCTGAAGAGTTCGTTGCAAAGTATTACAGAAGAGACAAAGAAACCCTTCCTTAAATCCCATTAACTAAATAAAGCGAAGTACTGCTAGAATACTTAACACACCATAAGTAGCACCTACAAATGATAACAGGTAAGAAAATTAATTTAACCGTGCACTGCATCATATAAACTTTATTTTAACTGCAAGTACCAGAGATACAGCCCCTTGCAGTAGTGAAAGCCTGGTTCAAGCTTTGCTCTGGAAGAATGTTTTTCAGCCATTAAAAGAAAACTTGGGACTTCTTCTAGTTTCCCAGCTCTTCTTAACAGATCAATTAATCGCGAGAGAGTGGCATAGTTATCTGAATAAATAAATAAACAGGACATCATCATTTTAGTCACTTGCACTGTGAACAGATTTAGAGATGAAGACCCTGCATTGTTTTTCACACACAAAAATGATACAGTGTAATATGAGTCATGTTATAAACAATGTCAGATAAAAGACAAAATGATACCTCTGCAAAACTCCTAAATAGACTGTACAAAGGTAAGTACAATTGTGCCTCACTTTTAAGAGTTCTCAAAAACATTTGTTGTACTCTCACAGCTCATTTCACACAAAGACTCATAGAAAGCTTGACATTCATTAAAGTATTATTTAAATACATTTCTGTCTGGTCATAGCCTTTAATTATCTATAATTTTATTTGCCCAGAAATAAATTTCCAGGCTTGTGTTTGTGCATTTATATAAATACAAGAAAAAGTGCTTTACGCTTACAAATAAATAACACTGTATTTGGCTGAAGTTAAACAATGCACATTGCATTGCAGCAGTGTAAATTATTACATCTGAGATAAGTTATTTGCACATCTTTCCTAACAATAGCTTTATGTTTTTATAGATAGTGGTGGTCTTTGTTTTATTTGCATTATAACTAGCACATAACAAAGCATTTTTTAGCTATTTGTACCTCTCTCTCATTAGACATCAGTACCAAAGAGTTAAAAATACCACTACTGAACATTCACCTGGCTTGCGTTCGAGGAGCTGCTGGAAATGAAAGACTGCTTGTTCATAGTCTTGCTTCCTGAACATAAGGTCAGCCATCATCTACAGCATTGACCAATTCAGAGAAAACAAAACAAAACCTTATAAACTGTGTTTTAAAATTAACTCAAGTTCTGTAAAACTAAGGGCAGAAAACATAGGTTTAAAGTGCTGCATGAATTTGTGACAAAAAGTAAAGAGTTTTTTCCCCACTAATCTCTGGAGAATAAACACCTTATACAGACACACAGAATAACAACAAGCAGATTCACTTCTCAGTTTTTCACTTAAGATAGACAGCAAGAGAGAATAAAACATTACAACGTACCAATCAAAGACGTTCTGTTTTCACTTGAATACTTCTATTTCCCAGAAATGCATATTAAGCACATAGAAAAGCAAACTACCTCAAAGTTAAGGAAAAAGAAACACATAGCCCACATCAGCAGAGAAAGTAAATCCAGCTCTTATTTCAGTTTCTTTCCCCCAAGAGGCATTACTAAAGAGTAGATTTAACAAAATGTAATTGGAATGTTATTACCCCTGGTCTTGCACTATACTAGGATAAATTCCAGATGTTACCTGATGTAACTTATTCCAATCTTAAAATCATCTTGCTCCTTAAGTGTTAAAACAAAAATTGCTCAGTCTTTTGAGCTGTCTCGTAAGCCAATAGGCATACAAGCCACACAGAAAGAATCTGTTGCACTGACTTAAAAAGGTTAAGAAGGAATACAGTTAACAGTGATTCTATAAGGACGTAAAAACACCTTAAGTACACAGTTCTTTCCTTCTGGAAGGTGGTTTTGTTTGGTTGGTTTGTTTTGGGGGAAGAGGGTTTTTTTCCCCCTGCTTCCTACAATGCTTGCTGAAGTATTAACGTGATGGAAAAGTAAATTAACTTCTTTTCTGCTCATCTGATAACTGTTAATAGAACGTGCAATTAAGTCACATGAGCCAATCGTACAACTACCACTTTTTCTCCACATGTGGTATATTAAGCACACATTTTGTATAGAGATAAAATGAAGGTAAGGTTGCCAGAAATTTAACACTGAATCAGCATCCACCATAGACAGAAACAATATTTTGTTGCAATAGATTTGCTCACATTCCTGAAACGGTTCTAAGTGTTGTATTTTATGAATTCATCACATTGCAGACACACAAACTTCAAAAAACTTCTAATACAGAATTAGTATACCAGTACATTACCATCGTTGCTGCTTCGTTATCTTGCTCATTCCTCAGTAACAAGGAACACTGATGCTGACAGGCGTCACTATCGTCTTGTGCAAGATACAAACGTGCCAGTTCCAACATTGCCTGTGTAGTAAAATATTTAATCTTTGAATTGCATATGGTTAAGGAAGGATAGTTCAGTTCTGTATGTATTTACCTGAGATTCCATCTTCTGCTGTACAATTCTACTCTACAGACAGACCTTGCTATTGTTTTCTTTAGACTCTCAATCAAATAATTTAATTGATTTCAATTCCCCCAGCTACAAAAAAGGTAAAATTTTTCTTCTTTAATGGGTTATTGCAGAATTGAAGACAGATGCTCAGACAGTATTGCTCCAAAGAATAAATAATTTTGGCAAGAATAATTCTCTTGGAAAAAAAAAAAAAAAAAAGGTACATGCAAATAGTTACAAAGTCCCAACAAGCAAATATCTCATTAACATTCACTGATTAGCTACACAGTATAAACAAATTCTAACAGAAACTTGTTTTCTTGCATTTCCCTGCCTAACATATTAAGACTGTATGAATTCATTTACGAGAAACAACCACAGAACAAATATTAACAAACCAACATTTACATAAGCATGCATCCTTGGGGCTCAATCACTCTAATGCTGAAACAGAAAGGCAACTGAGCAAGCAATGGAACAGATACAGAGTTAGCACATATGTGAGAATTTTAATTATGAGAACTGTGATTTGAAGAAAGTTTTTGTATGTACAACAGCGGAAGACTGTGAAGCAGTACGCTAGTTAGGGAACTGCCTGCTTGTGGCACATCAGAGAAGAACATCAATGAAACCAGACATCCACCGCAGTACTGTAAGAAGGAAACAAGTTTTTAAAAGCCAGAAATTTGGTCTTAGATTGGCTAAGACATCAACGTATTCCATGTAGCAAGGAACAAACATTAAAGCAAAAAATCCGAAAGAGGCAGCGAAGGGAAAAAAGAAGCAGTACAATAATCACTGCTCAGCAATAGCAACATTTTTTTGAATAAAACCAGAATCTTACCAAGTAGGGACAGAACTATTAGAGCACAGACAGCAGAGACAGAAATTGTCTGAACTGACTGAAGTTGCTGGGATTTCTTTCCAGATGACGGGCAACAAGAAAAGCTGGAGCAGCCTCCATTATTACTGTACCATTAAAGAATGTAAATGTAATAATGTAACAGTTGAGGTACACATCCTCAACTGTTGCATGATGACAGTCCTACTTTATCTTATTCACAAAAATATTATGATTAGAAGCCAGGATAAAAGCAACCCTATCATATAGGCAACTAACAGACTACTCAGTGAACACAGATCCCCACTCAAATGAGGCTTTTACGTAAACAGACTGAAACTGGGAGGACATATACAGCTATTTTTATTTTGAGTGACAAAAAGGAGAAAGTTCAAGGCAGAAAAAAACAAATATGTACACAGAGCCTTTGTGGTTTTCATCACTGAAAACAGAAAAAACAAGAAATTTCAAATACAGTTCTACACTGTGGATAACTGGAAAAACGCATTGCTAAGTATCAAAAGAAGAGGAAAACAAATGCAAAGTTGTCAGAGGGAGAACCGACCTTTTTATCAGTTTCACAGTGAACAAGTGCTTCTTTGTAAAATTTAATTGCTTTTTCATAGTTTCGCTGAACTGTACAATGCTTTGCAATCTCAGCACAAATTTCAGCTGCTAACTGTTTCTGTGCAGGAACTGCATCTGGCTGTTCTGTCTGAGCCCGTTTAAGCACTCTGGCTTGTAATTCTCGAGCCTAGCATGGAGAAAAGGATAAGAAAGGATCAGCCAACTTTTTTTTTGAAGGAAGCAATATTATACAGTTCATTTTACAACAACATGGCTACAATTTTTACAAGTTTGTACGTGGACAGTAAAATCTTCAACTAATAAAAAGAAGAGTGTAGAAAAGCCAGACAAAAACACTAACATCTTTCCGAGTTCCTGAGTTACCTTCCGTGTTCAAAACTCATATTAAAAACACGCTGGAAAGCAGCCTAGCATTTAACACTTCAAGAAGATGGGATCCCAACCTGCTTCTCTACTGTATGTCAATCTAATACTGTAAGGTCTATACTTCATAGACTTTAAATAGGCTAAAATTAAGCATACAAACAAAACTTCAAAAGCTAGAAGTCAAAGCCTAAGTACTTAACTCTTATATTAAGTATAGAAAACTCAGCCAAAATGCAAACAACTACCAGATTTTACTTTAAGCTTCTTCATTTAGAGTGTGATTAAGAGAAGATAGAACCATGGAGCCAGAGACCTCTGTTGAAGGCAGATGCCCCAAAAGATCAAAAGGACAGCCAAAGAAGTAGCTGTGCCCAATTCTTATTACACTTGATCAATTTTCTTTGATTTAAACTTGAATTTTATTTAATCCCTATATAAAGGACTTCCTCCCTTCTGTTCAAGCTGAAATTGAGTCTTAAAAGATCTGCTTCACTCATTTGGAAAGGAGTAAGTTGAAGAGCTGTGCTGAACTGTCAACTGAAGTTGGCAAGTTGTAGCTGTACTGAAACACTTCGTCCTACCATTTTGCCCAGCAGGGAAGGAGAACTAACAAACAGTAAAACCCACAGGGAGTTCCTAACGTCACTATGAAAAAGGGAAGAAAACTTTTTGTCAAAAGGTAATACCATGAGCAAGCAGCTAGTCCTACTGAGACTGGAGCTGTAATGGAAGGGAAGGATCCAACCTCTTACTCAAGATCTGCGATGAGAAAGCATCTTCTAAATGGATTATGTTGTCTGTACCTTCCAAATTTGCTCTTTCAAGACTCAGTGAATGGTAACATTAAACTCCAGAATTAACAGTTTACTGTTGCTATTTAAAAACAACATGGTCAAGGTTACAAAAAAATGACATGTAGTCATTGAAAGCTATCCTTCTTTGTTCTACGAATAGCGCTCAGTGCTCAGCAAGGATATGTAATAGACACTGTTTTCAACTATGCTAAAACTATGCTCCACACACCAATGAACAGATAGTATGATAGCAGCCTTACAGTGGTACCCAGAATCCTGATTTAGAATTCAGATGACAGCGCTCAAAAAAGCTTAGACTTACCTTAACATTTCACACCAGTCAGTGGTGGCTTATATGCTTTTTTCTTATTCACAAAAATATTATGATTAGAAACCAGGATAAAAGCAAAACGAGGAATAAAAAGAAAAACGTTGCAAGCTTTCACAGGGTTTCTTTTTGTCTTCCCTTTACCTGCAGTAATGAAGTGATAGCTTCATCAATCTTCTCCATTTTGCTGTAAATTTTTGCTAACAGAACCTGGTAACGTCCATCTTCCATCAGAGAAGACAGTTCATTTACTATAAGAAATACATAAACAAACATGATTATTTTAAGAATAGATCCTGGGAAGTCAAAATTTTCTACATATTCCAGGCAACAGCTTAGGTGAGAAGTTCACAGCTTGATTCTATTTATTTAGGAATGCAATTTGACTCTGTGTGCAGTTAGCAGGCAATGGAAGGAGTAATCATCATAATATACAGAGTGAGATTGAAGGCAAAGATGTGAAAAGAATACAAACTACCTGCCTGTTCATTTGCATTTTCAGAAATATGAGTCACTTAAGTAAGACACCTAAAACAGTCATTCTTTGTATTTGTTACAGAAAACCTCCTTGAAGGCAATGAAAAATACCCAAATTGATTCAGCGTCAGCATACCAAAAAAAGCACAGGATTACTTTGTGAAATTTCCACTCAGACCTCAAAGTAGCTTTCTTTTGCTAGACTGAGTAAGACAGACATGAATACAAGTTGTTATTTTAACTAAATGCTTTAGTATCTGCTGGAAAAGCAGCAAGCTAATTCTGAGTAATGGTTAAAAATACTTATGCATAAGACAGTATTTACATATTACAAGCTCTCCTGTTTGTATTAATTTTAATCTCTTGTGAAAGTGGTGTCTTGGGCACAGTTACATAGCATAAAACTTTTAATTTTTTTTTTTTTAATATAAATGTATTGAACTATATAAGTAAATTGTCTTCAAAGTGCTGTCATTGTGATAGACTAGATAAGTCAGTTAGATAGACTGATAAGTCAGTTTGCAACTTGTTCTAGTCCTCACATAAGATTGTTCCCTCCATAACACTCCCTACGTTTCATTTCTCTTTGACATCTTCAGATTTTTTATTTTAGCATTTCTAAACATAGATACTGAACTATTCAATATTTTGCCCAATGGAAAAATAATTAATTAGCTGATGAAATACTTTTTTTTTTTTTCTTGTGGAGCATTTATATCAAAGATATTAAAAAAAAAACACAGTTGTTGGTTCACTGTAAGATAGAAGAAAAGATTTTAACATGTATGGAGCAAACTCTATTTAATGCTAATTTAATCTTTCTACGCTAAAAGATTAAGCTCCCTTGAGCAAGATTATCAAGTTAGCTGGATCTTTAAATGTCAAGAACAAAATGAGAAACCAATGTTTGTTTGTTTTTTTAATTATTATTAATAAGAGAATCAAGTTAAATAGAAGATCAGCATTTCTCCGCACATACTGAAAAAAAAAAGTTAACTTTTTATGTGAGTGCACATTCCTAACACACAGCAGGAAATCTGCAACTCAACTTTGGTTTCTTTGCAATGAAGGACACCTGGCAGCATCTTGCACTTGAAGAACTATTCTCTTAAGAGCAGCAATAACTCATCTATATGTGATCAATTCAGATCAGAACTTCTGCTAGCAAAGAAGAGCAAAAAAACTTGCCTATATAGAGACCTGAACTTGCATTTAAATGATGCGATGTTTAAAAGTCCTGGCAAGCATTTCAGTAAAAATGAAGTCTATTTTTGAGTATTTTTCATCTATCGCTTTGTAGCTCCCTGTGCCATATAGTTAAAAAAAATAAACGTTGATCTGGACTTTGATTATTGTCTACAGCCGCACACAAGTAATAGTAATAATTACATATTATGCTGTAAATTAATGACAGTCATACCATACTCGTGATCTAAAGCTTGCTGAAGTACTACTTCTGCCTTTGCATACTGCTTGAGTTTCATTAAAAGTTCAGCCAAGTCATAGCAAAGAAAATTCTGCTGACCACTTTTCAGGGCAGCCTCATAGTAACTGATTGCCTAAAAGAAATACAAAAATCTGGTTATTAAAGAAAATTTACAGAAGACAATTTTACTACTTCTATTTTTAATGGCATCCTGCTTAGAGCTTTCTCTACTTCCTTCTGTAACCAAGTAATTTTCTAGTAATCACTGTATTAATAGGATGTCATTTAATTGCAGTTTTGGACTTCCAAGATTTAGAACCAAATTAAAGAAACAGAATAATTAGTGCCACATTTTGGTGATTATGCATATTAACACCTATTATCTTCAGCTGATTCACTGTCAATTAAACTGCATTCTCATTAACTGCTAAAGCTGTGTAATTCAGCTTTAAAATCAGTTTTAAAATCTTTAAAAAACAGTTGGATCAGAATTATAAATTTCTGTATTACTATACAAAAGGAGAAACAATTTCCCTAAAGTCTATCTGAAAAATACGATTATAAGACATTCTGAGAAGTTTAAAAATATGTAAGACTTCACAAGTTTTCCCCAAATATTTTCTTATTTTTCTCCAATATTAAGAAGCTAAAGCCTTCACTAGCATTGTCCTATACAGTGCTAAGGATATGAGAGGTATCACAACTATGTTAATGGATAAGTACTTAACTATTTTTTTCAGTATAGGTCCAAACACATACCAATTCTAAGTCACCAGAACTACAATTCATCAGGTTTATATCCACCAATATGCAGCTATCACTTTGGCCAGTTGCATATTACATAGTAAATTTACTTTCAGGACATTAAGTCTTTTTACTGCTATAAAATTAAACACTTCTTACTCAACGTACAAAACCAAACAAGAACTTACGGACTACCTTTGAGTAGTTATGTGTTTTGATTAAGGCTTTTCCAATTTTGCTTGCTAAAGCTGGATCTTTTGGGTTTTTCTTCAAAGCCTGCTCGTAGACTTCTATGGCTTCATCAGGCTTCAACAGTGAAGATAAAAACACAGAAGTCAAGGACAAAGACAACAAATGTGTGTGAAAACTAAAAATCTGGTAGTACTTTGAAGAGCAAGTGCCAGTAGTACTGGTTCACAAAATACGGGACTTCTGAGAGAAAAATGACCATTCTGAAAGTGTGCAGCCCATTTAAATACATATTTTCATGTTAAAACAAAATACAGAAAGAACCTGGCTAACAAAGGAGTTTGATTTCTCTTCAGATTACTTTCCCTCTGAACTTTCTCTACCACTGCACATTTCACTAGTTACTATAAAGTACATGTGAAATCAGTGTCATGGAAAATAATCAGTTTCTTTCCTCCAGTTCTGTAAGAGCAGACAAGGAAATTGTATTTTGCTTCGTACTTCTTCATTAAGGAGAAGACAACTGTTTATCACCTACAGTTTCCCAAAATATTTATCTGATTAGTTGCATGCTCTAACCCAATCAACTCTCCCAAAAATACGAATTTAAGTGTGTATATTTCAAATTTCTACACTCACCCAATACAATGCATCTTCTACAAACACTGAGCAAGATTTCCAGCCCATCAAGTAACAAAAACTTTCTAGAGTGTATATTGAAATCCAATAGTTTCTGATTTTTAAACAAAACTTTCAGTAGAGGAACAAAATTGTAATTATTCTAAGTTTAAAAACAACTCCAAAACATATCTAACTTCTTTCTTTTCAAGATTTTTGTCTGAATGCCCTTCAAGAAAAAATGCTCTCCTTCAATCTCTCTCCCAGAATTATGAGCAGGTGCTTTCAAATAGCTTTTAATCTGAATTTAGAACAGCTACATTCATAGTTGGTTATTTAATTTTTAACAGCCATAAGAGCTTATTTCCAAACTAGCTATTATTAAGAGTCATCATGCTACCTTCTCTCAACTTGCCAAAGCAAAGGATGACTTAGTCACTTACTCATTTCTAGCGAGCACTTACCTCTTGAATATTCATATATGCATCACCAAGAAGAAGAAACGTATGAGCACTTGGCAGTTTTTCTACTAGGTCTCTGGAAGCAGACGACAGAACTGCGTTCAGTATTTAACATGTCAATATTGGTATCTAAACAAGTAGGGTGTGATAACATTATCCTCTAGTGACGTTCATTATTATTTCTTAAAATAAAAAATCTGAAATCTTTCCAAAATAAGAATTCCTGGTACAGTTTTAAATGTTAGAATGCTTGAGTTCGTTACATCATTAAATTTTCTGATTTGTTTCAGCAAAAAAGAAGCTCAAGATGCTACCATTTAACATCTTGGGAAATAGTACACGTACACATCACAAATTTATACCTGTAGCAGGCAGCATACAACTTCTTATCTCTCCTGCACTGAAGATAGATGTCTGCCATCTTCAGCTTAGCTTGTACAAAGTAAGGCTGTTCAGGTGTAATATTTCGGAGCACAGTCAAGGCTTGTTCAACATCTCCTTGAGCAATTGCCAGATCTGCATTTGCAATTGTGACCCTTAATTCCTCAGGAGTTCCAGAAAATTCATCAATGGCATCTTGCAGTACTACAGTGGCCTCATGCTGCAGATAAAACCAATAGAATTAACACAGTTTTTGCTGTTGAGCAGACAAAAACGGAGTCATCATAAGCAAATCTGAGACCATTATACAAAAATAAAGTAAAACAAAAAAAAGCAGCAAAACCAAACCACAGTATTTATTTCTTTTGCTGAAGCATTTAAAATGTTATTTTCCTCTTCACTTACATTGCACGTATACAAGAAAATGATCAAAAATCAACTGCACAACACCATGCTCTAACTAGTTCTATTTAGAAAAGGATGACCTCTGACGGTCCAACTACAGTGTTGTGTGTACATTATATCCTTGGACACTGCATATGCCTTAAAACATATTAAGATTCAGTTGAAAGTAAGCATACTAACACACAAAAGTACGGACACAATCAAAAAATATTTCTAGTAGCATTCTTACAACAAAACATTAATTTATATGCCTGAGACAGTATGTGCTCCACAAAAATTGAAGTTTTGCATGAAAATTTTGAGTCAGTTGAGCACATGCAAATACACATCTTTTCTTGTAAAGTTTCACATATCAGATGTCAAGTCAGACATCACATCTTCAAAACATCACATATCTTGTTGGCAGAAAAACTGATGGCTTCATACTCTAGGCTAATGAGGATTAGACAATTCTGTTAACGGATAGAAGAAATTGTTTCGGGGTATGTTTGTGATCTTACCGGTTCTCCATTCAAACAATGAGCCTCTACAAGTTCTAGAAAGACAGCCACACGGTCACTCGTATCAACTTCAATTCTTTTTCCTTTTGCCTTTGAGGAAGCTGCATGTTTTCTCATTCCAGGCAAATTCCTCGCCATCTGTAAGGTCTTGATAGCTTCTGATAATTCACCCATCTTCTTCTGGGTTTGAGCCTTAATTAAGTGATAAACTGGATGCTCTCTCACCTAAAGGAAAAAAAAATATTTATATACGTATATACATACATATACATGTAAAATATATTACACGTACGTACAAAGAAAGTAGAAATTTCCAGATTGCATAGCATTCCATCTCCCTGAAAGATTTTTTTTTCCCCAGCACTGAGCTCAGTTCCTGTTTACCTCTAAATACGGTTGATTCAAGTTGCGGTAATGTAAATATTAATTTTCAGGGAGTCTGCAAAATAGCAATTAGCTTTTGTTTTATAATCAGTAACTTATTTTATTATACCAAACTTTGAGACAGATTTTGAACTAGACTGAAGTTTAATGGATTTTTTGCATCTTTCAATTTAAGTAGATTTGTTTCATTAGGCTACCAATTAAAAATGGTACTGAATTATTTTGTAGCTTAAGTCCTGTCTGCCATTTCCTCAAACATCTCAAAACAGACCTAACGGGAAAAGATCTAAATAAGGGAAACACGGTTATGCATAAAGTTGCAAGCACCTTGGTTATCTCCTGAATAGTTTGTTAACCTTATGCTTTTTTGCATCATTTGGAAGAAGGAACTAAAATGAGAGAACACTTGCAAGGAAGTTAAATTGTCCCACTGTTCAGCCACGCACTGCCAAGAGACTTAGCCCAACTCAGACCTAAGGAATGCTGTAACATGCACCCTCACCAGTATTAATCAGAAAATTCCTCTGCTGTAAACAAATAAATCAAGTCAGCATAGCATATCTTCAAACTCATAACATTTAAGACGCTAAAACATGAGCTTCCTTTTCTGAACTCCTCATTCATCTTTGTTACCTTTATTAGTAATTGTGCATCTGTGTAAGAAGTACAAAGACACTGGATCCTTTTCAAGTTCTTCTATATTGGCCTTTAAAGTCAACTGCAAACTTTGCAACCAGCAACTCCGTTCATACAACTTTGTTTTAGTTGGTTTTAGTAGTTACGTAAGAACTGGAGGAAAAGCCATCTCTTCTCTTGTATTTTAACACAATTTCAGTATTTGCAATAATGGATTAGTTCTACCCCTTGAACCTTACTAGTTAAAAAAAACTAGTTATTTATTTGATAAATATTCAGATACCACATTCACATTAGTATTTAGATATAGAGCTTGTAATGAAAGAGTCAAAAAATCTCATTTTAAAGACCACTATATTAAAAAACATACAAGAAACCTTGGATGATTAACTGAATAAAGTAATTTGCTTCTTTTGTCCAACTCACCTCAAAATTGTAGCTCAGGCAGAGTTCCAGGGATTGAGAACAGAGTTTAGTGTTGTTCTGAGCCAAATAGACCTGGGCCATCAGTAAGTGTGCATCTGCATAAGAAGGATCCCTTTCCAGACAGTAACGAAGATTAGTCTGGGCTGCCTCAATATCCCCTAGGAAGTCAAAAAAGAGTTAAGAGAAAAAGTAGCTGATAAGAAACACAGGTTAAACAGAACATTAATTCATTATTTACTAATTTGATTATTTTATTTAGTTTTTAATAACTATTAGCGTTACATGAACAAAGTAATGCATGAAGGACTACTATTTTTTTATTTATTTATTGCAGCTCTGAACAAAAAAATCAAAACTAGGTTAAAGTTAAGACTTTTTCCCATTGTCCCATCTTCAAATCATTTAATAACTGGCCTCTTTCGGAAAGCAATAGATGAAATATCACATTAATGTGGTCATAGAACTAAAATACGTTCACGCAAGTCACAGAAGTAGTGCAGGTATTCTTCACTTAGCTATGAAGTGCAACACAGTGGACAAGAAATACTTCACAGCTGAAGAGCAAAATCAGAGAAACTAGAGAGGTAGATAGCTAGCCATTCATACAAGTATTACCTGATAAATATTTCACCTTTGCAATTAAAAAAACAGCTTGTTGAAGACCTGGCACAGTTTTTACCACGGTTTCAAGAACAGAAGCACAGTGCTTGAGAAGCGGTGAAGGAGACTGCCCAGGACTTGCAGGCTAGGAATAAACCAAAACAAAATTAACAAATGCAAAAAACAACAGAACTAAACCTAACAAAACAAACAAACAAAACCCAGAAGTAACATGTCTGTTAGTAGGCTTTGGGCTTGAATCCCATTTCAAGCCTGAGTTTCACTTTAAACTCTAATAACAATAGTAAAGCTGAAGAGACGAAAGTTGTTGCAGGAAAGAAATATAAGAGCACATTTTACATTTCAAGTACAACTTGTTGATATCAGCAAGAACACAAAACTGCATCATGAATTCCAGGAAAAACAGACCCAGACCTGACGTAACTAAAGAGTTGTCCATAAACATTTGGCAGCAAGTTCAGAATTACCGTGCCAACTGATCAAACAAAATGGTAGTATGAACCGAATTTCAGGAGCGTCAAAGCTGGAACGATCGATCAGAGAGATGGGAAGAAAAGTTCCTGGTCCTGTCTCCCCTATGCTCTTTCCATGCTACAGAGCTTACCCTCTCCTATTACCAAACTGAAAGCAGCAGCCTGAAAATAACCACTTCCATTTAATCTTTCACATCAACTGCTATTCTGCATCATGTTAGTTGTTCTTTGTTATAAACAGTTTGTAGCCAATGAAACAGTTACATTGTATAACAAGCAAAAGACAACATAAAGATGCCTCTGCTCATCCTAACACCTTAACATCCCCTCAGGACACATGCCCTCGAAGCTACAATCTCTTCTTTGTAATAAAGGTATAACGAAACTTCAGGAAAGGTGCCATTTTTCCCATTCTTCTACAGACAGTTCTTAAGACAACAGTTCAGTTTCCATTCCAAATTACAGAACCATCATTGTCATTAAGTATCCAAAGGAAACCTTCAGACACTGTTTCACAGAATGACACTTTTTATCTCCATCTGTGCACAAAGTCACATGCAGTAGTTATATTTTTCCAGACTATCAAGCCATATCATCTCAAAGACAGTGGGATAAATCATAACAATGGAACACTCACTGTTTATGCTGGTTGGATTTTATAGCTTTACATGAATATTTATGGAAAGGTTCTAAAATTTGACTAGGAATCTGCTAGAAACAAAGATCACTCCTCGCTATTTCAGAAGGATAATCTCTTTAAAAAAAGACACTCTTTAGAGGTACTTTAAAAGTGTTTCTTCAACTCTAGAGATGTCAGGTCCCCACTGAACGTATTACGTCCTACGTCTTTGCTCCAAAACCAGAACAAGTTCAGTCACAACAAGTTAGCCATCTAAAATTAAAAATCAGTAATATATCAATCAAGTAGTAGTCCACTGATTTTTACCAACACGCAAAAGAAGCTTAAAAGGAAAAGATATCCTGAAGTGACAAAAATATTTCAGCACCAGAATAATTACAGTGTGAATAACTTTGTCATTAAGACTGTATTCTTAGTTACTTGATCACAAGAAATTCTAAAAAAAAAAAAAAAAAAAATTCTGTACAAATACAGATGCAAGCCATGAAACTAATATCATAAGTAATATCTGTAATATCAGATACTACAGTACCTGCTGACTTTGCAAAAGAAGTATTTACACAGTTATTTTGATTGTAATATAATATCTTAAAAAGCAATTTAACCTCATAGAAATTCACATTTCAAGGGGAAAAGTTTTCTAAGCCTTGCTTCATGATAGCCCAATCTCAAGAAAAAATTCCACAATGTTTTGTTTTCAAAGAGGTGCAATATACAGCCGCTCACCTGTGCCGGGCAAAAATTAAGATATTCCCTAATAATTTCCAGCAAGAAATCAGGATTTAGTTTTTCAAAATACTCCACACCAAGAGGAAAACCATGCAAAGATGAGAAGTGGGTATCCAGAACATCATTCAGCAAGGCAATCACTTCTTCTTGTCTCTTCTGCTTTTTCATAGCAAGGACCACACGCAAGAAAGATAATTCCTACAGGAAAGAGAAACAGAACATTTTAAATATTCCAGATACATCCACCTATTATTTGTACAAAATTACATAATCACTAGTGCTAGCCATTTCTTTCTTTGTGTAGAGATACTGTAACACCTTAAGTATGTTACTGCAAATGACACCAGTGATCATCCCATTCCTTCATTAGTGCATTCACTTAATTTGTACAAGCAGCTCTAAGTTTTTCTGCCCAAAAAATCCTGCAAAAATTAATACCCTTCCCTTTCCAACATTTCAAACTTATTTTCAGAGACAATGCTTAGTAACCACACAGTACTGTGTTGTTAAGTTATTAACTTACATCGATAGGGAATGAAAACTGAAATTTAGAATGTTCCACTTGAGTGACTGAAATGTGGAAGCAGCTAGCAGACCACTACTTAGATAGCAACCAAAGTATTTCAGCATACAAAGATGCCTCCTACCCCAGATTTTCCAATGGACTGTTGGATTTCATTAAGAAACTCCAATTGCTGTTCTGCATCTTCTAGCTGCCCTTGTATTAGCTGACAACGAATAATTCCTGTAACAAAAGATTTTATTTCAGATTCGTCTTCTTAGTCAAACATATGCATTGTTTCCCAGAATTCTTCTCTTCAGCATCTTCATAAAATGGAAATAAGAGAAGAAAAAGAATACACCAAGATCTACAGTAATGCTGATCTCACACACTTAGAAATACCTGAAGACACATAACTAATATAAGCCATGTCAAAAAGTCACTTTGTGAAAATATCCAAATCCTAATACTACAAGCTGAGCACAGTACATCTTCAGCTGTTTCTAGACTAACACCAATCAAGCACCATAAATCTTCACTTCCAAATCCAACAATCAAGGTAACAAAAGAACACCCCAGACCACACCCAAACCAGATTTTTTTTATACTGTTTGAATTTTCAGAGTAGAAAGCAGTGCTACAGATGAAAATGCAAAGACTGAAGTACACATGCCATATTTATTCTTCATTTCCTTGAGATCTTCACTTTACCAAAAATAGGTATTTCTTTCCCTCCCAAAGATCTTCCAATCCTTAAGCTGCAGTAATTATCAGAAGTCTTGCCTGATTATGTTTCATACATGTCTAAATTAGGCTGAAAAGCATGCACTTCAGTCTTCACTGTGGACAGCTTGTTCTACCACCTATCCTTTATTATTTTCGCAGTGCATAAGAGCTTTCCAGCTTTGGCAAATGTTTGTTAACTTTTCAAATTTACTGAAATGATAATGTCTGCTCCCAACGGCATAAAATAAAAAAACAGACATTCAGATGACAGAAAAGTGCAATTAAAATATAACTTCAGTGGTGATGCATGTTAAAAAAAAAAAAAAAAAGTGTGTTTTGGATGCAGCCCCGGCAAGGAGAGGTCTGAGGAAACCTAATGCTTCATCTGCATACATGAGTCACAGAAAGAACGGCAGGGTTGTCCGTGGTAGACAAAAAATGTCTTTCTTTACCTCATAATCTCCTCCAGATAACTTTGCTTCAGCCAGGTCTGTGCACACCCAGAAGAATGCATCAAACTAAAAAAATCAGGCTCTAGTTTAAACAAAGGCACTGATGTGTGACGGTAAATCTGAGTTACCACAGACAAGTACGGTAATTGATGGTTTTCAAAGATAAGAAAGTAACTGTATGAGTATTTACAGCAGCTGAAACTCAGACCAACACATCTGATAAAGCAACAGCCTTTTACCATGGTCAAATAAACAGTAATCAATGATTTGCTCCCTCCCTTCATTTGTGCTTGTTTCACTAACAGACATGCGCAGCCACACAGAACCATTCCAACAAGAGGCTAGCAGTGGACAGCTAATGCTTTGGTGGGCTTTTTTCCTCCTGAATCAGGAGTACGTGGGGAAAAGAAAGGAAACAAATATTTTCATTCTTCTCCTGTATGAAGAACTACTGCCCAGTGTTGCGAATCCCAGTCTTATGGTAAGATCTAATACTCTTTATGGAGTGACAACACTGCAGCACCACGTATTTTGCAGTTATGTGCTTCTGCAAATCTGCTGTACAGATCTGCATCGTGATTAAAATAAAAGGAATGAGTACACCATATGCATTACACTAGTCAAAGTAACAAGAAAAAATAAGTTACCTCATGTCTGCATTTTAAATGGACTATCCTGCTGAAAGCCAAGAACATAATACTGCACAAAATAGTAATGTCACAAAACAACAGAGCCAAAAATTGGAAGGAAAGGAAAAACAGCCCTAGTAAAGTTAGTCTTCAATGACACTAATGAAATTTTAAAAGCTTCTTCCCCTCTCTCAAGTAACTCCAGATAGAGAAACCTAAGGCAATGCCTCATGTACTTAAAAAAAAAAAAAGTGTTAAATGAAGATATCATATAATTTTAGGCATGCACTGCAAAAGAAAACAAATCGAAACCATCAGAATACATGAAGATATAACTTCCTAAGAATAAACACTGCACAAATGCTGCAGATCTAACAAATACCCAGCAAAATAATTTCACAAAACAAGAACAATATGCTATTCAGTGATAGTTCTTGTTATTCATATTAGCAGAAGTAAGAAAATTTCATAAACAAAGCATCTCCCATCTTAAGTGCAATAAAATAAAATAAAAAACAAGTTTAAGACCTTACCAGTTAAGGCAGAAACACTTGTTTCATCAAGTGTCATAGCAGTCTTATACCATTTTAAAGCTTCTTTCACTTTTCCTTGTAAAATCATTTGGTAGCCAAGCTCCGTAGCAAATTCTGCATTGTCAGAATCCAAATTAAATGCTCTTTCTACTAATGTTTGTGTATGCTGAAGGATGAGCTGGTTCCGGCCACACTAAAAGGTAAGAGCAATCTCAAAGTTTGAATTCCTCTTTTTTTTTTTTCCCCTCCAAATTCAGTTAGGAAAAGATAAAGGTATTTCAGATTTTAGAGTTTGCACATTTAATATTACTGCAACAGTGGAAAAAAACCCATAACCTCACGTAAGATTAATCTGCAGTAGTTCCTTAAGAATTCAAACAGTAAAGTGTGCTAGGGCTCAAACAAATACAGAATACCATATAAAAGAAAATTCCACACAGTCGATAGTTGCTTTGAATGCCTTCTTAAAAGGGTTCTGATAAGGATTAAAGAAGCTTTCCACTTCAAAGCTGTATGATGAAGCTTCCAGATCTTTGTCCTACTAAACATTCTATAAGATATTTGAGTATATTTTCATTGAAAACCTGTTTCTCATTTAAAAAGTAAGTAATAAAAACATTTTAGGAATGACATTGCTCAAGTATTTGAAATCACAATGTAAATGAATGCAAAACTTTAACAAATTGAGTTACCAAAGGCCATACAAGTTAACTTATTTAAATCTTTTGGAAAGCACTTATTAGAACACATTCTCTGGTACAACTGTTAAGTAAAACAAACGATGTGTGTTTATTTGTCTGTTGCTTACGAAAAAGAAAGTATACTCACTGTTCTACTGAAAGCTAACGCCATTTTGTAGCGGAGCTGTGAGTTACTCGGCTCCAACCTGTCCAACGCTTTAAGGAGGTCGCTCAGTCTTGCCGAAGCCTTAGAGAAAAATCAATGACATCACTGAAAGAATTAACAGATTAGGACCAAAAACATTTTACTGAATAGCAGTATTTTGAAATTTATATTCAGAGGTGTTCAGAGATAGAAATCAGATAGGTTTTTTTCTAAAAAACTGCAATTTCTAGAAAAATACATTGATTAGCAAAGGAAGAATATAATAGGTCATTGTATATCCCCTAAACATTCTACAAAAAGTGAATAACTTGAGCTGAATCTGAGCTGGTGGGAGTGTCCCATCAAGCAAGATCCGTACGTCTTGCTAGGGCTTCAGTACAATACAGACACAGTATATGAGGGGAAAATAGAAAGCTTATTGTGAATGTGGGATCTAACCCCTAACAAAGGTTGCATTGTGCTCAGCTGTCTGCAACCAGCAAGACTCACCTCACGTACATTTCCTTCCCTGCACAGAAAATGCAAGGCCTCCATTCTTGTAGCCTCTAAATTGAGAGCATCTTTCTGCAATAGCCTAAAACCAAACAAAACATACATTTAAAGAAGCCTAACCAGATTTTTTGATTCACAACCATTTTCAGTGAAAATAATTAATATTCTCTTCATTTTCAAAGCTTTGGTAAATCTATCACAGTGGTAAAAACAAAATATTTTTAATATATTGGTTATTGTTACCCTGTTTTATTCAGTTCATATGATAGAACTTGAATATGGATTTAAGGCTCCTCCTCATTTGATTGAATCTCCCCAGTATTCAATAAAGTAATTAAACCTTCAGGTTCCTAAATTGAGCTTATGTAAGTATAATGTTACCATACGTGAAGCTACAAGAAAGCTTCAAATGCAAATGTTTTCAAATAACTTCTCCCACATCAGTAACATCACCTTTGAATTTTTCTTTCCAGCTAAAATACCTTTAACAGTAATACCAAAAAGAATTTTTAAAAAAAAAATCAAGGTGCAAGCGGGACAACCTTACAGAGTGTTGACATGAACAACTGTCGTAACTTGTATCACACCATCACACTTCTCATATGAAATCACAGCTTCTGTCACTTCAGGTCTGCCTCAACAGAGAGGCTCCCTCTTTCCTGCAGAATGGGTTCCAGGTGATTGTGTGATGTCACTTGATTTAATATTTTTGAGAGCCATGGTGCAAACATATTGATGTAATTGCATACAATTTCAAGGCTAGGCTCTTACTGAAGTTCATTTTGTTTAATATACTTCACTTAAAACTGCTCTAACTTTTTCCAAAGTATTCTTACAGTCTAAACATATAAAAAGCACCATCAGCAATGTGTTAGTTCATACTCAACCTATGTGCTGTTTCAACTGCCTGTTCCCAGTCCTGCAAGGCTAGCTGTAGCTTCATTTTCTTTATGAAAGCAGGAAGGAAGTTTGGAAAGTTTGCAATTATCTGGTTCACCGTTTCCAGAGCTCCTGAATAATTCTGTCGGATCTCAAAATATTGTGCCTAAAGGAAGGAAGACAAATTGCATCAAATCCTGTGCAGAAGTGGGAAGATACAGAATTTCCTTCCATACAGAAACCATTTTTCAACATGCATTTTACTTCAGCGTCAACTAGAATTATCATACAAAAGAAATATGAAAAGATGAAGCGAAAAATACTGTGTGGGGTAAGCACCTCTATTTCAAGTTTAACACAGCATCAACAAGAAAAGGCCCAGGAGATGTAGCTGAAGAGTGACATTGTTTTAGTAGCTTTTGACAACTTTTGTTGAAGCAGTTTAGACATTTCAGGATATTGAACATAACCAACAGATCGCAGAACTTATTCAAAACTTGAGTCCCATATTGTCACTGTTGTTGCCACACTTAACAATATTCAAGTACTTTGTACAGCACTCCAAGTACAAGACTACATCAGAAGTAGTATCACAGTTTAACATGAGTGCCACTGAGTAGAAATCAATTTAGGGCTCATGTCCTCAACTTTACTTCAAAGCTTAAAATTCACTTACTGTATTCCAGGTGATTGCGTGTATGTCACTTGATTTAATATTTTTGAGAGCCATGGTGCAAACATAAAAGTTACCACAGTTTCTTAAATAACAGCAAGACAATTATCTGCCTAAAATCTAATTGCAATAACACTTCTAAATGTACTGGTAATTGAATACATACAGTCATGCACACATGTGTACCCAAATACTTTGTGCACTGCTCTGAGCTACAGTCTTCTATATCACACATTCAAAACAAGCACTTGCAATTGAATAATGACAACTTAGCACAAGACAAAAACATTCACAGACAACCCCACTACAGCCTTTTAACTACTATATATATTTTTTGTTTTACTGTGGCACATAGTAATTCTGTAATGTGGACAAGCATCTTCTGTGAAACTTCCTCTGACTTGGACGTTTTCAGATGGTATCAAACCTCATTTCTTGCATATAAATAGATGAACTCAAAGTTCGTTTTTTTCTTGTGCACATACCAAAAATCATACCTTCAGTTTACATTCAGACTGACTGCATTTCATTTGTAGCCATTGTTTTTTACACTGGTGCCTTTTGGGCCTTAAGGTGTCATTTGGAAGCTAATTATACTTACTAAAAAAAAAAAAAAAAAACAACTTATCACTAGAACAGTTATTGCTTATTTACCACTATGCTGCCTGTCCTTTCGTCTTCTTCAAGACAGAAAGTAAGAAACATTACGAACCCTGGTTACTCAGTACAATTAGCTACTATTTAAAGCAGGCTGTTTACCATAGGAAATGCAAACGTCAGCTATTTTTACAGTGCTAGAACTCAAATTGTTTGGTAACTTTTATATTCCTCAAACAATTGTGTAAGTGACCCACGCTTAATTTCTGCTAAAATCTACTAAAGGCTTTTAAAAAGAATAATCTAGTCAACTGAACAAAAAGAGTACGAGTGAGCTGTATCTCTACTTCTTGCACATGCTCTAATCATTAGCAAGCTCTAATTATTAACAAAAAGCTGCAGTAACACATTTAGAAAGCGTTAAAATCAAAGTAAACGTACTTTACCAAGGAGAGCAAAAACGTCATTCCCTTCCTGCAGTGCTTCATCAAAGTACTTCACTGCTTTTTTAATATGAGTTTCTTTCCCACAAGTGAGATCAAGCCATGCTTTCAGAATCAATCCCTGCAGAAAAACTTGCAATCATTGGTGTTCTTATTAGCCTTTATTACAAAGGCTATATGCTTTATTACAAAGAAGTATGTTATGCAGAACAATAAATGGAAAGAACCATACTATAAAATAAGACTGAAAGAGAGATCAAAGTCAGAAGCTTTTAATTATCTAAAATACATGACTGAAATTATAAGCAGTACGCAACTCAAAATATTAGTAATTCATTCATAAATTAATTCAAACTCAAATCAAATAATTAAAGGATTAAATAACTTAAAGGATTAAAAGCAACAATGGAGCTAACCTCAATTAACAAACTAAGCAGGATTAAAGATTCTTAAAACAGTAACTGTCAGTGCCTCCATAAATGCAGAAGATGTTGCTACATACAACAGTTACACAGGTTTTACATTACATTCAAAGGAAAAACCTGCCTTTAACAACTGCTGAAACTGTTCCAAACCTTTGGGTTTTTGAATCTGTAAATTCAGAGGAGATGACGCATCCTCTACTGACATCATCAATTTTTTGTTGTTGCTTTGATACTGATCATGATAACAATCCTAGCAAGAGCAAAACTGACATAACTATATTACCTCCGTTGGTCAATGCAGAACTTTGATTTACTGACTAACAGTATGTTCAAAGAAAGTCACTAGAAATTTTATTCATCCCTGTCAAATGCAATTACGATGTTGAAGTATTAAAACACAAAGTTCATCAAAGGAACATCAAAATACCATCGGTGCAGTAAGCCTAGCTTCATAGTATATGCACAGTCCTCTTACTACTTTACATAGAAAGAAAAAGGCTACCTCTTTATCACCACTAGAAACTTTGATCAGCCGATCAACGTATTCCCGGGCTTTGTCTTCACGACCAAGATGCCACAAAAATAAGCCAGCGAAGTAGAGAGCCTGCTGTCCTGCTGTTTTTCGTTGCTCCTTCAGTTTTGTATCCAACTCTAGAATAGCATCCCGATCTGAAAAGACAAATGTCAAATATATTCTTTCGCTCACATTAATTTCTGGTCCTTTATGTAGAACTGCTAAAATCAAATGCCTGACTCTCATCGCTAAGACTTTTTCAGAAAGTACTGAATATATGATAAGTTCAGTATCTTAAAGCTTTAGTCCATGGAGACAGAAATAAATGCAGAGTCATTAATCAGAGCTATTTCACTCGTTCATTCAACATTTACCAGGGTAACTTGAAGTACATTAATGGCCTGGCTTTCATGACTTATTAATAAACTTGCAGTTTTACTCAGAAGGACTCATACCGGACAGACAATAGGAAATAAGAATTGAAAGCAACCTGATTTTAATTTCTTTCTCCATAAAATACTTTTCACCTTGGCAGGTAAATGAGTTATTCAGTGTTTAAAGATTTAGACTTAACTCTTCACAGCTATATATTTTGGTATTTTTATTTACAGCCTTGATAAATTTCTAAGTACTAGAAATTATGTCAAAAGCAAAGTTGGGGTAAACCCTTTAAAGTTATGCAGAATTCATCTACAACTCTCAAGTCTTCACATATGGCTGTTAAAAACATAAACCATTATTGTTTTAATGAGCATACCTGGATTAGGGCTCTTCTTGTGGGCATAGATCAGTGCCATCATTGCACAAAGTGACACTTCCTGTTTGTTCTTAATGGATTCCAGTTGTCGAATACCTTCTTGGACATCACCTAGTGATAACAAGAGTGAAATAAGCTGCAAAGTCTTTGAGAGGACAGAGAAGATTAGTGTAAAAAACTGCTGACTCCATTTTTATTTCTGTGCTTTTCCCAACTCTTTTTACATATTTTTCGTTATCAATGATGTCAATTTTCAGCTGTTTGTGCAAACTCTTCAAACAAATGCAAGGAACAAAAAAGAACATTTCAGTACAGAGAACTTGAAAGAAGTTACGTGTTAGATCGGCCAGCCTGAAATATGGCTTCTGCTAATCAAACTTGTAAAAGCACCCAACTGGTACCAGCCCACAGCTCCCTAGGTGCAGATGGGTACAATGTTAGGCACAGACGCACTGAAACCAACCGGTTCTTGTGACACAAAGCACCGGCCACACAGTTAGGTTCCAGATTCCCTCCAAGGAAGCTATTTGCCTGACTGATACCCACAAAGTTACTGAGAAACACAGAGCCACATTACTCATCTCTCCAGCACCGCGTGCCTCATAGCTGCCTCACTGGAACATGGGGGTGGGAGGACTCATTAAGTACCGCACGTACGCGGCTCAATGAGCGCGAGCGGTCTCACAAACACCGCGGAGCACCCAAGGCCCGAGCGTCGCCACAGCCGGCAGCGGCGCTCCTCGTTACCTGTGCGCAGCGCGCCGTACGCCCGGTAGAAGTGGAACACCGGGTCGCTGCCCAGCCGGCCCAGCGCCTCCTCCGCCGCGGCCCGGACATGGTGAAAGTAGCACTCCTGGCAGTAGTAGTTGAGCAGGGCCTGCGAGAGAGGCGAACCCGATTCGCTCACGCAAACGCACCCGCGACCGCCCCGTTTGGCGCTACCCGACACGCGCCCCTGCTACCCTCAGCGCCTCCACGCCCCCAGCACAGTGGCACGTACCTGCTGCACCGCCGCGTCCATCGCCTCCGCCGTTGCTAGCCAACGCCACCAGAGCGAGGCGGCCGGAAGGGGCGGGGAAGAGCCCAGCGGCACGCTGCCATTGGCTGTCTGGCAAGAGCGCGCCCTACCATTGGCTCCAAGAGAAAGGAGGCGGGAGAGACACAGGAAGGAAAACTGCAAGCGCCGGAACGAGTCGGACGCTCAGGGGAGAGGGGCGGGAACGAGTTCACGCAAGGCTGGGGAGGGCGGGTTTGAACAAGCCTTCGTGGGGCGTCTGTAACGGCCGCTGGGCTGAGGCGCGGCGCGCCCCGATCTTCCTGAAGCGCGTCAGGGTCCGCGGGGTGTCGGTGCGCGTAGTGCCGTCCTGGCGGCTGCATCAGCCGCCCGGCAGTGCCCTGCGGGCGCAGCCTCCTCCAGCCTGCCTCACGGAGGCTCCCGTGCAGGTGAACTCGGAATTCTGAATGGCTGGCTGTGACATTTGTTCCGACATAAGACTGCCTCATGCTCCCGTTATGTTGTTATATACCACAATATTGAGAACTTCAGGCTCTGTAAAGCTCTCCAGCAATGAAATAGCAATGTAATACAATCAAATACAGAAAGTTCTCTCTCTTTTTTCCCCCATTTCTTCCATTCAAGTGAATTAGAGTTGGAAGAGTTTAGTAAAAATCAGGTTTTCCGTTTGGACTGAAGGCGCTGTCCTTTGTGTCCAGGCATCAGAAACAATTCTTGCTGAATGGCTTTGCTTTAGGAGGGACGTGCTGTCTCTCCAACAGGTAAGCAAAGCATTCTCTAGAAAATTCAACTGTAATGACATTTAATAAAAGGAGCAAACCAGTCATAGAATCAGAGAATGCAATCAAAGAATCGCTAAGGTTGGAAAAGACCACTAAGTTCATTTTGTCCATCGCCAACCCATCTCACCATGCCCACTAACCACGTCCCTCAGTGCCACATCCCTGTGGTTCTTTAACACCTCCAGGGACAGTGAGCCCTTTGCTTCTCCGGGCAACCCATTTCAACACCTCATCACTCTTTTTGAGAAGAGATTTTTCCTAATATTCAACCTGAGCCTCCTCCTGGTACAAATTAAGGATTTTACCTCTTATCCAGTCACTGTTACTTGGGAGGAGAGGCTGACCCCCACCTTGCTACAACCTCCTTTGAGGCAGTTCAGAGAGAGATGAGAGTCTCCTCCTCCCCTGACTGAACAATTTTGACCAATATCATCAGATTCTTTTCCTCCGCACAGCCCTCCAGCCACTTTGCCCCAAGCCTGTAGCAACGCATGAAGTAGGTATGACTAATTCAGTGTTGCACTGAATTAGTAGGTGAAGCTAATTTTCTGAGCCGAGACTGCTTTGAATGAGCTTTTCTAATGAATCCAGCACATATGGCTCTACCCCATTGCTCACTCCTTATAAAGTCCTAAGTTGCTAAGGAGATATTATGTAAGAATAATTTTTTTCCTTGTCCAGGATGATCCTTCAAATAAATCTCCTAAAAAATTTCAAGGTACTCTACCTGTACTGAAGCAACATTTCAGCTTCTTTGACATTGAAAACCTGAAATAGGTAGGAGAAACAATTATTTTTGTTTTCCTATTACCCGTAAACTGAAATGATAGTGACATAATTCTCATCTGTCTCTTTGAGAAAAGCAAAGTTTTAAAACCTGTAGGTAGAATATTAAATAATATTCAGTTTACTACCTGTGAGCCTCCAAGGACACATTCAGGACAGCTGTAATACTTGTCCGTTGAGGACTCCCATGCAGGAAGTGGCTCATGGAGTTACTCTGTGCAGTACTGTAGAAACACAGAATCATCATGCTCAGTATTTAACATGCATTAATTAGAAATGTTAAAAAGCATACTGTTTTTAAACTAATGTCAGATAATAACGACAAAAGGAGCATACAATAAAAAATGTAATCTTTATTATTTCGGCACATTAATAATGTTATTGAGCTTCACTTAGGGTAATAGTAGCATTTTCCTGCATGCAGTTCACTAATATAGTATTTGCCAATAACTTTAATAAAAGTAATCTATATTTAATTTTCCTGTGTAAGAAACATAAAATGTCCTGATGTGTTTGATTATATGGTTTTGCTACTTTCTCTTTGTGAAAAAAATATTGTGGAACCATTATAACATTTAGAACTGCACTATGAATAATTTTTTAAAAAGTGTGTGAGATATGAGAAAAAAACTAAGGATTCTGCGAAAGGAAGAATGTATTTGAAAATTTGTTATGCAGGCACTGCTTAAACATTCAATTAACACTTTACATCTTTTTCCAACTTCAAAAAAAAACCCAACCTAATAACTAGAGTTTTAGAAGCAAATTATGAACTTATTTTGCATAAAGAATTGACATGTTTGCAAATACAGTAAAAAATAAGACCTACAGCTATCTGTTCTCTTAGTCATATCATGTTCTCTGGAGTACTTCTGCGAAAAAGTGCTGCAGACAGAAAGTAAAAAGAAATGGTGTGGAGACAACCTGAAGATAAAATTCAGTTCTTGTTGTATGTACATAATGCTGAAAAAGAAAATAAAATGATTTTTACAGTATTTATATTTGCTTATAAAATTCTAACATTATTTTCAACAGGTCTAGTAGTTTTCAACGTCTGTACAGTTTGGATATACACTATATGCTTTTCACTGAAAATTCAAAAATGTAAATCAAATGAGTTCCTAAATAGCTGCAAAATATTGCTTAATGGTATGGAAGAATGAGGTCTTGTTGAATAGTTTGCTTCATTTAGCTCTGATGTATGGCTTCCCTTTTTTAAGAATCCTGGACAGTCAAAGGAACAGAGGCATAGGCAATATAAACATGCATTGCTAGCATCCAAACTATCTATAGTGGTAGATAATACATAATTTTACCTGTTGAAAGCTTGCACATTACACTTATTGTGGTACATATTTGATGCAATAAATGTGCTCAGGTCGTTATCTGTTTGCTCAAACATGCACCACAGGTTAAAAATTACTATTTACATAGCAGAGGGCTTTTCATTAACATACAACATCAACCTTACCAAGAGCTGAAGATGGCTAAACAATACTGCAGGATAAAGCAGAACAACATTATTAAGGGCTCTTTCTGATCAATTTGGCAGTTTGGACAGGTTCATTTGGTGTTTTTATGCAGAAAGACATTTGATAAAGACATAATCTGTGACTCCAGACCCAGAAAGAAATCTGTACTTTCTGAAATTTAATGGTCTGTGCAAAATAAATAAGTAAGTAAATAAATAAATAAACAAATATCTGCTTTTACTGTTCTTGTGAGTTACAGGGGACTTTACAGGCATACCAAGACTGGTTCGGACACGATACAACATGAATACATTAATTAAGCACCTCAGAATTTATTATTCCTTTCCAGAAACACTGAGCTAAAATCAGTTGTTCTTTGTGACTTAATGTTATTTTCATGCATGATCTATAAGTGCAGCATGCCTTCATGCAATTCATTTCTGTGTGTATATTAGTCGCATAGTAGAACACCTGGCTCTTATACCTGTAAAGTAGTGCTTGACCCCCTCTCCCAACAGAAGACCCATTTACAAAAATAGTTGCATGTAACAAACAACATATGAATTAAAAAAAAGATGAATCCACCAACACAGATCTGTAAAAATATGATGTATATGGCAGTTGAAATGCAAACAGTGGATACAGTTATTGTATTGTTTTACGCTAAACACACAACTAGAACTTGGTTTGCACCCCTTAGCTGGTCCCTACAGCCTGAGTAGCCATTTTTTCTCTCCTCTTCAGCAGTGTCAGCTGGTAGTGAGAACAGTTAAATCTTGTCAAGGTTGTTTCCCCATGTCACAATCACAGTTACTGACGAGGGGTCGCTGTCTTTTAATAGGCACTGACCTTTAATGTATAGTATGTTTGTAAAAATTGTCAGTTTGGCATAGACCTCCAGCAGGAGTCCTGTTGACACAAACACATGACCTTTGCAGGCTATGAACTACTTTGCACATAGATGATTTTGCTTGCTATTTATTTTTATTTCTGTACACCTTTATCTTCCTTTTCGTGCTTTTCTTTGACTGCCCTTGTTACACGATCGTAAGAAGGTGGACAAACTGCTGTTGATGCAGTTATATCAGTCTTCTCTGTAAATGAGTTTTCATTTAACTTGTCCAAAAGTATTTCATCTTTAATGCCCAGACCAGCCCCCCCTTCAGTTTTGTTTTTGTTATAGATAAAGGAGGCTTGTTTTACTGTTCGTTTTAATAGGTGGCGTCTAAAAGCACGTTGAATAATGACAGCAGATACTTCTTCTTGTTTTCTTTTTAACGTTGTTGTAATTGGTTCATAGGAAGCTTTAGAAGGGTTTGATGCCATAAATCGATCTTCCATCTGTATCCTGAGGGCATCCATCTCCCCACTTTCCCCTAACACACGCTTTGTGAAAGCAAACAAGATGTCAAGGCAGTGAATTCTGTCACCGCTTACCATGGGCAGATCCATTGCAATCAGCTGGACCTTGTTTGGTTTGGGAAGGTGAAGAGGAGGCTCAAGAGCTGCTGCAAAATCAGACAATTTCTCAAATTCCATGAATTGTGTTGCATCTGGATCAAACTTCTCCCAGACTTCATAGAACATCTCAAAGTCATCCTCACTCAAGGGCTCAGCACTTTCTTCAGTAGCAACACCAAAATTCTCCAGAATGACAGCAATGTACATGTTCACCACCACCAGAAAGGATATGATGATGTAGCTGACAAAGAAGAAAATCCCAACCGAAGGGTTGCCACAGTCGCCTTTAACAGAGCTCCCCGGGTGAGCTTTGTTAGGATCACAGTCCGGCTCCCCGCTGTTAAGAATTGGGGCTAACAAGCCATCCCAGCCAGCAGATGTGGTAATTTGAAATAGGCAGATCATGCTGTTGCCAAATGTTTCAAAGTTGAACATGTCATCAATTCCAGCTTCCCTCTTAACGTAGGCAAAGTTGGACATGCCAAATATGGCATAGATAAACATGACCAAGAAGAGCAGCAGGCCAATGTTGAACAAAGCAG